GCTGGTGAAACCCTAAATCGACTGCAAGGACTCCGAGGATGGTGCGCGTGGGAGTTTCTTACCTTGCACACCAGCTAGGTAAGTGAGTTTCACTCTACCATAATACTCTACTCATATAACATTATTCTAAAATCCCTAGCTTGCCGCGGTAACAGGTAAGCTATCTCACGTTGCAACCTTGATTCGCGGCCCAGGATGGGCCAAGCAAGTGCAATGTCTGGCAATGCAAAATTTGACACAACATTTGACACTGATAGTGATAGTAATAACCTCTGAAAAACTTGGCTCCGCTGTCAGCTCAAGAAGCAAGAAAAGGAAAAACTTGAAATTTGGCAGCATCTTTTGACAGTTGAACAACAAGAAATGCGGCCAAATTTGTGCGTGGTCATTTTCCCGATCCTTGACGTCTCATATCATATTATGGAAATCATTTATAATTCTATGTAAGCTGACAATTCACATAACCACCACAGTATCTTCCATAAAACTAAAAGTAACAGGAAAAAAATCAGTGTACTCAATGCGTTATGCGATAAGACCACATATACAAAACTATTGTAAATTGTTGTAACTAAGAAAATGGGTAATTTTGTCAATGTTTAACGGGTTTTTGGCCAAAAATGTTAATTTATAATAAGTAACACAGTAATTTGAAGATGTTAAGACAACAGTAATTTCGAACAAAGTTGTTCTCATTCAAAACGTTTATATGATCAATTTATGGACTCGAAACTATAAATTTGGCGATATAACTATAAGACCCATACATGAGCTTATATAGGGCAGAAATATAAGTATAATCGGGCTTAAAATACCTACGTAATATACAGATTACAGACACCCATAAGAAATACGTGTATTTTATTCAGTTTTATTGAGATAGTTGATAAATTCTTATAAAATTATTTGGATTATTTGGATAATTTGGAAAGTTCGTAGATTCCTCTCTTGATAAAAGTTGCTTTATATTATTTCTTTGCGATTGCAGCGCAATGCACTACTAAGCTGCGCAAAAAATAATGCTTCTCACTACCGTGACGAGATCGTAACTAGCAAAGCTACGGGCTGGAAGGGAGAATTGATATTTTACGTGGCACTGCACATGAAATTGTGTGTGTTTAATTCATCAACAGCAAACAAACAAGGTTGAATTGCAGATAATTTAATAATATTAAGCTTAAGATTAAACTTAACAGTCCACTACTCAAGAGATTAAACGCTTTGATTAATCATAAAAGTGGTTCAACAGCTGATTATTGTAAATATTACGTAAAATGGAGCTTTAATTAAAATAGCATAACAAGAGATTGCACACTGCACAGTTTGGAAGAAGGAAATTAGTCGCTTTAATTCATGACCAACAAATAAACGTGGTTATACAGCAGATATGTATTCATAATAATGAGATTGGGAAATAACTTGAATAGGGCAATAGTTTGGTGAATTTGAAAAGTTATGAAATACGAGTGCCCATGGTTTGAAAATATGGGTTTAACTTATCTATTTTTTACTATAACTCCAATAAAATATTATAGTTATACCCCTCCAGTAGACCAGCAATTGATACTACACAAACACAATACACTAATACAGAGCCAATACGCAAGCTTGGTTTTAGTTATGGCACTGAACAAATTTGTGATATGTAATCTTTGAGCCAAAGCGAGAGTGGCCGGCCTTGTAGTCCACTGCTTATATTTCTAAATCAATATTATATCTGGCTCCTCCACCCACACGACGTTAATTAGTTCTTGGGGGGTAAATTTGATTTTACAGATATTAAAGATGATATTAAAGATATTATAATTCTGGTTATTTACGTTTCTGACTGACAGTATACAATATGACTTTGCCAGACGTTGCCTGGCCTGACACGCTTAACCTCCTCCAGCTCCATTTAAAAAGTAATTTGAGGTTACCAATTTTCGGCCATTTGCCACCGTGATACCCTCTGAAGTTTCGTCATTCTTCAGAAAGCAGCAAGCAAAGGGAAATGTTGGAATTCGATGGCAACTTTTGTTTCCTGGAGCTTTCTTGCAGTAATACTAATATGACAGTGTAACAAGGCTTACTGCTTCCTCACTAGTACCACCTAGTAAGAGCCCTATTCACCACTACCCAGGTTATCCTAACCTACCTCTGATGATCTCACCTCATAAGAATGCACCAAGTATTAGATCACTCCTCAACTCATACTATTCTACTACTCACGGAGCAGTGCCACGTCCTCAAATACACGCTGGTTGCTACTGATAATGCTGCACATCTTATAACATGCTAAATGTTATCTCATAAAACAAGAGAGAGAGGAGAGAGAGAGAGAATGACGTAATTCCTGTTGTTATGTAAAACAGTGGCACAGTGCCAGCCTAATGGCTAATGCTGTAATCATGCTGCTGACGGGGAGGAGGCTCACACGGTGGTAGTGGCAACGTGGCACTGGACACGGAGATAGATGGGAGGGATATAAGACAGCTCTCAGACGGGATCAAGGCAGAGTTTATCAGTTGTTTGGGGAGATAACAGGTGCTGCAGTGCCTGACCATTTTAACTGGTCGTCCGTGGATTTGATAATTTCTTCACTAACTCTCTGTTAATAATTGTGGTGATGACTGACATGAGTTGTGTTATGTGCAGCTATGCCGAGTTTCTGTGAAAACTATCACGATTAACTACTTTTAATATCCTTTCTTTTACTCTTTTGGTTTTATTTTGATTCTCTTGTTAGGGTTTTAACTGAGTATTTAAGTATCTATTTTAACTTCACTGGTATCTAAATATTTGAACCCCCAATGAATACAGTAAATACCGGATGATTGAACTTATTAAAGTTAGTATCCAGTGTACATTGTACAGTGCGTTAACAGTAATTAACATGATGTATAGTTGTGTACTATAGGTTAGAGATATCTGGTACATAGTGTATTAGTGTAGCTATGGTGACCATTGTTACACAAAAAAGGAGGTTTCTCATACTTAGGATGTTGCGGTCTTTTAAGAAGAGGGGCAGATCATGAACCGTGTTTTTGAGATAGAACATCTACTACTTAGCTACATTTGCTACTTCGATATCTCTCCATTTTCATTATGTAGCATTAAGGGGGCATACACCAAAACAGTGGTTTGTGCCGTCCAGACCAAATGACCTCATAGGCAGTTCAGTGACCTTCTAGCGCACCGTTTCCACACCAAAAAAAATTATTTTGAGAATACCCATTTTGGTAATCGAGCATTTCCTGGTTAGAGTGGAATTTTCGGAAAAACACAATTTGTTTCGTGGAGAGGCTATAAGTTAATCATTTCTTGCGGTATCGGCTTGAAATTTTGCTCGCCGTCTATTCACATCTATTTCAAGGTGTGTGTAAAATCTTGATATCGTATCTAAAAAGGCTGGTGTGTTATTAATTTTTAAAGTTAACAAAAGTCAAAAAGTTAAAATTGTCCTTTTCAGACTTATTTTAACCAAAAAGTCAGTCAGGGAAGATCGGATTGATTTGATGGTTGACATAGACTTGTTCTCTGAATTCTGGCGCAGATTTTGATGCCCTCTAAAATGTTTTTCCTCATTTGTGTTCAGATCTATTGGTCTTCAAAGCCAAACAACAAATTTAGGCACATTTTTCGTTTTAAATATTTACCGATTTTTCTAAAATTTTGATAGGAATGTGCTAGTGACTTTTTGAAGAGTGCAAAATAACCGCAACTAGCACATTTATATATGAGTTATGAACAACAAAACACCCTAAAATGCTTCCCTTTAAAGTTATGGGAGAAAATGTGATTTTTTGGCTTTGCAGATAAAAAATCACATTTTCTCCAATAACTTCAAAGGGAAGCATTTTAGGGTGTTTTGTTGTTCATAACTCATATATAAATGTGCTAGTTGCGGTTATTTTGCACCCTTCCAAAAGTCACTAGCACATTCCTATCAAAATTTTAGAAAAATTAGTAAATATTTAAAACGAAAAATGTGCCCAAATTTGTTGTTTGGCTTTGAAGTCCAATAGATCTGAACACAAATGAGGAAAAACATTTTAGAGGGCATCAAAATCTGCGCCAGAATTCAGAGAACAAGTCTATGTCAACCATCAAATCAATCCGATCTTCCCTGACTGACTTTTTGGTTAAAATAAGTCTGAAAAGGACAATTTTAACTTTTTGACTTTTGTTAACTTTAAAAATTAATAACACACCAGCCTTTTTAGATACGATATCAAGATTTTACACACACCTTGAAATAGATGTGAATAGACGGCGAGCAAAATTTCAAGCCGATACCGCAAGAAATGATTAACTTATAGCCTCTCCACGAAACAAATTGTGTTTTTCCGAAAATTCCACTTTAACCAGGAAATGCTCGATTACAAAAATGGGTATTCTCAAAATAATTTTTTTTGGTGTGGAAACGGTGCGCTAGAAGGTCACTGAACTGCCTATGAGGTCATTTGGTCTGGACAGATTTGGTGTATGCCCCCTTAAGCATGTACAGTGCAACTAACTACCGACATTTGACAGTGAACTATTGTAAGAAAGGATATACATATTTCTTAAATAAACACCAAGCAATCTCGTAAACCATACATTTATACGGGCAGTACACAATACTGTGTCCGTGGCAATGGCTGGACATTCGTTTTAACCGTTTTGAATGTTTTGATTGAATTATTTGTACTAGTGACAGTCACACCTAATCCTATATAAGTATATACACACCTATACTAGTATTACGGATGTTACCCAACACCGCACAAACGAACATAAATTCTGACAATTTCGACATGATTTCAACCCTACTGCAAATGAACTAATTAAATCTTAGATAAATTCTAACATCTTCCAAACTGGAGTACCGGTCTTGAAAGTACATTTTCATCCAAATTGTAAGCTGTGATATTTTCTTTTTCTCAAATAATGAAACCATAAAATTTGAACATATTCTGTTCGCACGACGCACAGCTTGTATCACTATCTCTAACAACTCTACCTCTTATAAAAGCTAAATCAAAATGGGTATATTTCTCTCGCGACTCTGGTCCACATTTGAGGACCTGGTCGGAAACGGAGATCCCTGGAATATCCTTATGTTGGGGCTTGACAACGCTGGTAAAACAACAATTGTCTACAAGCTGAAACTCAACGAGAACATCGCCACAATCCCTACAATCGGCTTTAACGTGGAGACAGTTACCCCGTGCAAGGGTTAGTTTGTCAGTTTGAGGAAATTAACTTGGGAAATGGGGATGCAAGAGAATTACCGATTTTGAAGTCTCACTTACTAAACAAAGTTATATCAACATGTAATTTCGGCACGAGAGAGATATGATTGAATAGAGAGAGAGATAGAGCGAGAGGGAGAGTGGAGAGAGAGAGAGAGAGAGAGAGAGAGAGAGAGAGAGAGAGAGAGAGAGAGAGAGAGAGAGAGAGAGAGAGAGGGGGAGAGAGAGAGGGGGAGAGAGAGTGTGTGAGAGATATGATTGAATAGAGAGAGGGAGAGAGATGTGATTGAATACCTAGGTTCCCACTAATAGAGGCGTAGAATCTGAACAAGCGATAAGACAGCAATAAAATCTAAGTACATCAAAAAGCAGTATAGTACCATTTATGAGATTTCTTAAATCGTCAGCAAATTGCACTCCTCACGATATTTGATAACACTTATCCTTTTGTCAGGTGTCACCTTCACTATTTGGGACGTGGGAGGTCAGGAGGCTATCAGGCGCTTGTGGAGACACTACTACTCTACCTGCAAGGGCCTTGTCTTCGTCGTGGACAGCAATGATCCCTCCCGCTTTGTGGTGAGTACTTGCTCAGTGAAACGTTGGTGGCAGGGTTATTAGAATCAAGCTATGTATCTTCAAATTCAATTTTTAGCTATCTTAAAAGTGAGAAAAACTAGTAATAGTATAGTGCGTGCAAAAATAATGATTTAAGTATGTTAAAAGAAGCGCATTTAAAATACCAATTGTATATGATTGAGTATGCTGCTATTTTAAACTTCAATTTCGTTAAAACATTGACGCCGCGACGCGCATCACTCTTGAGAACATGTTTGTTATCAGCAATCAGCATGATTGTCTTTCATTTGCTTATGAGCTATTGTCACGATATCTTCATATTCAACTTCATTATCATATTAATTTAATGCAGTTTTCGTAGTTTAGACAACCCAATAACATCGATAATTGTATCATGAGTGGGCCATAATTTCTAGGTGCCTCGACAAAAAATGTTTTGCAATATTGACTTGCTAGCACTATGAGTATGAACGAGACAGAGTCAAGAGGGGGTTATACAATTTTTGGATAAAAACAATCACCAATATAATCCTTACTAAATAATTATGAACTGTCCACGAATGAAGTCAATTTAAATTTTCAGGAAGCTGCTGATGAATTGAGAGGTATCATTGAATCTCCAGAGATGCCCAAAGGAGTTCCAATCCTGGTTCTGGCCAACAAACAAGACCTCCCTCAAGCTTCCCGACCCTCAGCGATTGCAGACAAATTGCAGCTTCATTCATACAGGTTTTTATTTTTAATTTGCTGTCGACTATAAATACAGCTGAGACGGGAGACTATAGTAGTACCGTAGCAACTTTTTAAATTCGACAGAAATCTAATCAAATGTAATGGTACTCCGCCGAATGTGCATTAAATCTAATAACTTAAATTTCACTCGCGATACAGGCAGAAAGCATTGTTTGTAGGTTTACAACCTACCAGGACGCGCGCCGAGTTGGACTCGTCGAGTTGGACTCGTCGACAATATATGGAACAGATATTTTACGAGTATCACCCGTTAAAGCATTGTCAATAAATGTATACTTAAAAGTATTAATTAGAATAACTTATTAAAAATACTTCTGTATTTCGAAACAAATAGTGTGACAAATAGAAGCGTCCACAAAATGAATGTCAAACTTTGACAAAAAATGAACGCGGCTATATAATTCGTGACAACGGCCAAAGATAATTGCACTTAAATTTTGACGGCCTGTGTTGATGGGATTTCATTCATATTAAGAATATGCGTCTGGCCATAAACATTACTGTACTATATTTCCTCGGAAGACAGAGTTTCCGAATAATAATATTACATATTTTTTACTCGAAATTGTTGCATTTTCCGGGGCCAATGCATCGCTGGCGGTACCCACATATTGATATATTCATTTATATTATATTATAGTCCACAACATCAAATATTTTAAATATTGAGTCAGTAGTCCTTAACAACTTTGGTAGCAAAACCATTAGAGCATTAGCCTAATATCATCTTTGTCAATAACTTGCTAATGTCGACAAGGCCAAGTCACGAGTATTCGCATAGCAATGGATGGCTCGAAAGACACTGTGTTTAACACACTTCACCATTCACATTATAGCTACTGGATTCCTTTTGTCAATTATTTGGAATATGGTTGGAATTCAGACTATTATAAAGATAAAATATTAATCCTCAATATTGTCGCAGGTCGAACAAGTGGTTTGTTCAAGGTTGCACAGCGTGCTCCGGCGACGGACTACAGGAAGGCCTCGAGGTCATGGCCCAAAACTTGAGGGAGTACAAGAGAAACATGGGTAACAGTACTTTCTAGAGTCTAGCTGCTATAATGACTACAGACTAGTGACAAGGGGCGACATTGTTCGCGATTTAAGGTTAAACAATCAAGAGGACTATCCAAGCTTAACTAGGTAATATGATACCTGGTATTAGCATTTATTGAGATGCTGATTGAGAATTATGTTGGACTGAATTGTTGAATGACAAAGCTGTTTTAAAATTCTTTGCTTTTATTAAAGCATTATTATGAATTAGATTTAGAATGAGCTTTACTATGTGTAATATAAAATTGTTGAAATGTAATTGTAATTTGTAGACAACTAAAAAGCATGCAATTGATACAATTTTAAAGTTTAAAACTAGAATCCCGACGGGATTCTAGTCTATGCCTGATTTTAGTAATAGTAACTACGTTAACGAACCATATATATGATATATTTATGTAAATATTATCAGAAATTTTTACGGTTTGTCAAACTTTATGCTAGCAATTTATTTCATTGCAATGCAGAAGTAACTCTACCTTAGAGTGAATTGATTAAAATGATTTTGAATTTTATAATTAGTAATTGTAGTTACATGTGTTTTTTGAAACATTAATAGTTTTCTTTCTTTAATTACATTGAGAGGCTCTTTAGAGCTTTTTTTTCGTTTCCTTGGTTGGAAATACATAAATCAGAAAAAGCAACAACCTCCAGCTTTAAATATCGAAACGAAGGCAAATAAAATCATGCCAGTGACACGGTAGTATAGATATTAAACATGATACGAATATTGGCGGTTCGGCTACAAGAATACTGCCACAACTCAGGCATATTCGAGAACTGCATAACCTAGATCTCTTAAATTAATTGTAAGAACTTCAATACTTGGTCCATGATGACCCTCCAAATGGCAAATACGTGTTTGTATGGTTTGACGTGCCATATGCTGGCTGGGATCGCATATCTGTTCAATTAATAGATTGCTTGTAGGTATTATTATATATATTATATAAGTATAACGCGTGCACCAGGGGGTCCTGAGTTCGTGGCTCTACAGACACAGTCTACTGGGGATGTCTTAAGTGGGCCAAGCCAGAAAAGGATACCAAACTATGAAAGTGTTTATTGTCAGCTTACACCCTCCGCCAACTTTTCCAGTTAACTCCATCCCCACTCCATTACCGTCTTAATCCCAATAAATTGGGAATTCAGACTTTTAATTATCCACTATAGGATTTAATCGATAGTTTAACGACAGCGCACATAATTTTGATCAAATCAAAATGAATGCTTCTTGAAGGCACCTTCCCCCAGATATTTGACTCTAATTATTTGATTAACTTGTTAAATTAAAGCGGATGAATCGTCCAAGTAATGTACTGTACTGTAGTCTGTAACAGTGGCAAAGCAATCTATCCATAGTTCAAACCCTGATCAGCTATAAGTCTCACATTCTCTCCACTGTTTGCCAGCTCTTGGTAAAACTATAATTAGATCGAGCTGTGGAACTGAGGAATTTCGGGCAAGATTTACTTAAAGGAGATGCCCTATGCCAGGAAAGCAGCCACCGTAGAGACGAACTAAAACACCAATATAAAGATAGGTATTAAAAGCAATATATTCAAAAAAGAACTTGAAGCATTTAGCATAAATATGAATTAACAAACATATTCATAATTAACCAACTGAACAACAATAATAAATTATAATTAGGAACCGATTTGTAGGGCACTTTATTAAATTTAAGGCAAGCAAATCAGCACTTACAAGAAAATCGGGTTATCAAACCGGAGCCAAGATTTGATAGAGTGTGTGTCAGATGAAAGACAAGATCTAAGACCCTGGCATTTTTGCCGAGTTATTATATAGTTCTCAGTGATCAGTATCCGCGTAATCACGTACACTATTCGTGAGACTCACGTTTATTCATGCTTTTAAATTGTATTACTCAATATATTACACTCGTGGTCTTAACATCATGTCCAAAGAACCAAGTTTTCTTATTCTAGTTCTTCTGAGCTTGGAGGTTCGGAGGATGGATTTCTTTTGTCTCACTTTCCAGTCGAACAAAATTCCCTAATTAGTAATCGTAATAAAAATAAGAATAGTAACGAGAACAATATGGTCGATAATCCAAAACAAGGCACAATTTAAATAGCTTTAAAAAGCAGCATTCAATAGAATTCAGAGCCGGGATTAGAAGTCCCAAAGAAAGCCAGATCAATCATCAAACTAGAGCTGAGAAGGTAAGACCCAGTGCTACTGATCCTAGAATAAAATGACTAGAATAAACTCTCCAAACATGACTTGACCTTTTGAATATGAAAAATAGAGCCAAAATTAATATCAATCACATTAATATAAACTAAAATGTACATATTGAAATTATTTCTCGTCCTCAATTTTACTACAGTCCTCTATACTATTAGAATCTTTCTCTTCTGAAACTTTGTTAACTTCTGGTTCTGTTTCGCTTGTCTCCTTAAAAGATCCTTCTTTTTTAAATAAACCCCTAATACCGGTTACCAACTGGAGAAGCAGTCCCTTCTTAACCTCTGTTTCCTTTATACACACCAGATCTTTCGTAGTCAGACTAAAGATCGAACCGTATACGATTGCAATGACCTGCGATACAGTTTAGCTAACTTTTATACAAGCCGTTTTTGGGAAATGTGCTTAACCTTTTAGATAGGGCTTCGCTCAGTAGTCAAAAATAAAGCTAAAAAACAGCATGCTTTTGCTTTTTGGATCGATTTTAAACTAACATTGAATTATTAAAGATTTAAAAACCCAACATGTAATCACATAATATGCACATGAAGCATACAAATATTAACAGATAAGAAATGAGGGAAAGTAGCAGTGATACTGATAGAGTATTAAGTTAATACTCTATCAGTATCACTATTAACTAGGTAACTAGTTACATCATTCACTTAACATAATGCAATAACCAGCGAGAGACAACACGTGTAATAGGTAGTTGACGGGAGGGGTCGTCTGAAGGCATTGTTACTGAAGGAATCATGCTTTGTTTGTGACATTTGTTTGACGTAACCGTTTTTATTTGTAATATCCTCAATCAATTTATAATAATTATTAGTAAATTGTTTGAAAAAGATGCTGTAATCAGGAAGATCGGGAGTAATTATACAGTGTTCATTGGTTCTTGTGAACTGATCAAATGTTCACGTTGCTCTGAATTACAATTTGTCTGAGAAACCAGGTGGCATAATTCTAATTTCACGATTCGAAGATAATATTTTACCAAAACCCATAATCATGGGTAGAGTGGACCGCTGCCAGTGTCTCTCTTTCTCAAACAAAAGGAAATGATATTAATTTGATTGACCGTTCTCAAATGCAAAATGATACCGAGAATGAAATCGGTCGCTCGCTTTTCCCATTCATTCACGGCTTACGAATTGTATAAATAAGTTTCGATTGATTACGTCAATCAGATGCTGTAAAAATCTCTTTGGGTTGCGTTCGGGTCGATACCTAGTATTTCGGGGTAAGGGACAAGGGTGGTAGTTATTACTTATTGAACAAGCTGAAGTTTATTGAATCTACATTGCTGATTGCCGAGTACAGCTGCCTTTGGGTAGTTCTTCTTAATCTATTACAATTGTAAATGAATGGGAAAAGCGAGCGACCGATTTCATTCTCGGTATCATTTTGCATTTGAGAACAGTCAATCAAATTAATATCATTTCCTTTTGTTTGAGAGGTTCACGTACTGTAGTGCGACACGTACTCTAGTGCGACACGTACCCTAGTGCGAAACCTCCAAGATCGACACTGTCGCAGTAGAGTACGCTACCTGGATCGTAGTGCGACACGTACCCGGTGACCGACAACTAGGAACCTCTCATTCCGGCCTCCCACAGGTATCACATCACATGGCCCAATCAGTGACGTATCATGTGTGATGTGATCCATATTATAACCATCCTAACAGCTGGACATCCAAGAACCTGGGTAGGGTTCACATGACAGTTTAGTAAGTAGTTGTGTATTATAAAGTATTTTAAGAAGTGTTTGAGCTCTCGGCATGTGTTCACATAACGGACGTGAGCCAGGTCCAAAAGGGGCTGGTTCTCGTATCCAAGGATGTGAGCCGAGCATGCAATGGGAGTGATACGAGACCTGCACCTCCACGAGAGTTGAGGTGTTGTCGGGGATATGTAATGATTGGTTCCTAGTTGTCGGAGCTGATTGGATTTCCAAAGCTTGCATGTTAATTAGTTAACTAGGTAAAATTGACAGGTTCCTAGTTGTCCGTCAGCCCACGTACCCTAGTGCGACAGAGAATTTTCAAGGCCGACACTGTCGCACTACAGTGCGCTACCTGGACTGTAGTGCGACACGAACTAAAGTGCGACAAAACACTTTACACAATCAATAAAAATTTTACTTTCCATTTTTAATGACGAGAGTGTAGTCGTGTATGAGTAATGGGATTAAATATAAGATCAAAGATTGCAATCACAATATTCAAATCATTATTCCAACACACTTCAACTAATTATCCATTCTGTCATAATCATCGTAGCTATCAATCACAGCGTTCAAGCGACGGTCGTAATCAGTCCACTTCTTCAGTCGGCGAGGAGGTAGTTGTCTGAGCATCTTCATTCTTCTGGTTGATCTTCCATTGGGTTAGATCCTGATCCTTCTTCAGGACGTCGATAAATCGCCAGATAGTAGGGTTGGTGCAGCCCATCAAGGGGGAGAGGAGGTTTGTGTTCCGACCCAGGTACGTTCGTAGTAGTCACTAGGCAGCAAAGGAATCCATCTCCGAAAGAAGGGTTGCTTTCAGCTGCGTCCAGGTCACAGTAGTGTTGTTCGTCAGACTGAGACGTCCGGAGCAGGTCTTCTCAGTGCATCGCCAGTAGGTCTTGTCGTCGCGATTCTTATCCAGGCAGTAGCGGTATCCGTCCTGGATAACGTTTCTTGAACCAGTAGTGCGTCCAGGAATGAAGGTGATTGAAGAAGACATGTTGATGTTGTTCGATGCTTTGGTAGAATCATCGTGACCTTATTTATGGCCCAAGCATATGAACTTGTTATCCCAATCGGAGATATACATACGATGCGTGTGATAGGAATGAGGATCATATGCTGCTTAAGAGTTACCCAGTGGATCACACACTGCATACGTGGCTTGAACTGACCCGAAGGAATTATGATCAGTGGATAACTTCGAAACACGTGATGTGAACCGACGAATCGTATTCGCAAGATCACTTCGAAATAAGTGACGTGAACCGACCCGACGAATCACTTAATGGTCCATAAGAAGGATAGGATGTGACCTGAACTTGGAAATAAGTCAGGATATTTTGTCGCACTAGAGTACGCTACCTGGATCGTAGTGCGACACGTACTGTAGTGCGACAGAGGGTGTTTTTGTCGGACTTCGCACTAGAGTACGTGTCGCACTAGAGTACGTGTCGCACTACAGTACGATTACCGTTTGAGAAAGAGAGACACTGGCAGCGGTCCACTCTACCCATGATTATGGGTTTTGGTAAAATATCATCTCTTTTTGATTATAATGTCAGGGTACTTTATAAAGTCGAAATATAAACTGATATCTTCATTAATAAGGAGGAAGTTTCAACGATTTCGAAATTTTTCCTTTAAAAACATTTCCTTGTGTTTAGGTAAACATATCGGTCGATCACTGACTGAATATGCCACTAAATACTCATTTAAGTTGGCATTAAATTCATATATAATGACATTAAACTGTTGTGGCAAAGCAGAATTTGTTTGTTGTTGGAAATCACGAATGAGCAAAATTCTCACCTTTCGCACGTGCAAACTTTGAGTGGACGTTGCGTGCGCATCCAATATTGAATCGCCGTACAATTTTGCATGTAATTGTTTTATATATAGCTTGATAAGCATGCAAAGTTTCAAAGTATTCCAAGAAGAACTGTAATCACAACGGCACTCTAAAGTTGACAGAAAATGACGAAAACAGAAATTTTCAGTGATTTTAGAAATTTTCTATCAATTTGGGCGTGTCCCCACGTGTGCAACTTTTCGATTTTCAACTTTAAAACTAGCCTAATGCACAATGTATACCTATAGGAAGCAGAACTAAGCTCCACAACCCAAGGCATGGCCCAACACCAGAGAATACTAAATCGCAAAATTGACGTTTTTATAAAATAATTCTTCAAAAAAGCACAAACTTCAATGACGAATATCTTTATGAAGGAGCAAGCTAAAAAACTTTCCGGTAGATTTTCAGAATGCTTGAACAATTATCTAAGATGAAAATTTCCTCAGATTTTGAATAAAATTACTCCTTAATGGTTTAAAATTAATTTTAAAAGTTATTACTTTGTCAAAAATCAAGTTTTAAAAACGGTTAACTTGATGACGTCATCAAGGGGTGTTCATGACGTCAAATAATTTGTTTATACAATGTAAACTAAAGTGTAAACAATTATTTGCAAGACCTGTTGTCGGAAATGGCTTTATCTTTTATACTTTTGAATCTATGGACACTTAAATACAGGCTACAATTGACTGGCAAAGCGTCTATCCCTAAATATATGTATGTATCACGACAATCTATCGTAAAACAAGGGTTCTAGAAAACCCATTTCCCGATGCTCCTGAAACCTGAAACTTTGTTTGCAGTCGATTTGGTCAACGTCTAGACGGCCTGCAAAATTTCAGATCTCTAACTCAATTTTAACATGGTTTTTAAGGCACCTGAATATGGCGATTTTGGGTTTTTTACCGAATTTCGTATAACAGTGCTGGCGAGTATTTTATGCAAATTTCTTAAAAATCTCAACATAACTATTTTTTATTCCTGTCATCTTTGACATCAAATTAGAATGTTTTGAACTAAAAATAAATCTGCTGAACGACTTCCGATGAGTCTTAATGCCTGGAAAACTCCTGCCGGAGGCAGCGGCCTTCGGCCGCCGCCTCCGGCCGGAGTGCACGCTTTGCGTGCACAAAAGAGGCTTGTAACGTGTACCAAAGGGGGTATAATAGTAAAGGGGGTATAATAGTAAAGGGGGCATAATAGTAAAGGGGGTGTAATAGTAAATGGGGAACATAGTATACCCACAATAAATGCAACGGTCGTGCTTGCCAGCACTGTGATTAATGTAATCCTAACTGGTAGCCACCAGTTTATAGCATGAATTATATTATATATGATTTATATTAGATATTTAATATTTTGGTCTGAGCTCCTTGACTGTAACAAGGCAAGAAATAATACAGATATTAAGATTTGGTAGGAGAGACAAGCACTTATATTGTCCGCTCAGTAAAGTGGAGGTTTTCATTTTCCTACCAAATTATACTCCTCCCTCTCAAGAGTCGTCCGACGGCAACATGGAATCTTTAAAATGAATTACGGCAAATGTTGCAGGACCACATAATATGCAAGCAACTTGGAATCGCATTCTTGAGAATTTGTTGCTGACCTATAAAGCTAGACGTAACCGAGTATTCGGCACAGATTAATGCATCATTGGCACCTAAATGCCGTTTGAGACACTGATAGCGTCACGAATCAAAACTTCAGTCGATGGTACGTCAAATAACTGACAAGGTTTTATACGTCGACGGAGAAGATAGTATGCATAAGATCTACTATAAATAATAATAGTAGTACTAGTAATACCTAGTACGTGCATTAACATTAGATCCAATTCCATTCTTAGTGTCGACTGTCGCGGTGATTTGCGTTATTACAGTCCAGTATAGAGATTAAGTGCCCACTAGATATACTTACTTACTTATATACGTGACGACCCCCTGATATTTGCACATTTGCACTGTATCTAGGTGGATATTATATCCTGCATGAGGTGCAGGAGTAAGGGTGGCACCTTGTTTACCCTCCTCCGGAAACTAAATATACCCCACAATATGACACGTGTTAATGTTTAATGTATATATACGTATATAAAATAATAACATGGTTTATCATAGTCAGTAGTCAGAGAGTATCACTTTGCAAGCAACGCCTCAAAGTGAATGATCATATGTACCGACTGATCCTACAAATGGAGGAAGCAGTTGAGGGTCACGAAGTTAGGTTCCCAGGCAGTTACTTTCCTAGACAAAAATAATAGCTCTAATTCTTAGTGATAATATAACGATAGTTATGATATATGCGACAGATGCGGCAATCATAATTCTTGTATATATTACGGCACGAGGAAGGCGTTGTCATACGTTGAGACCTGCCGCGCACGAGTGCGCGGCTGTATCGTGGCCACTTAGTGAAACGACAATGGGGGTCACGACGTACCTAATACAAGGAAGGGGAGGACGAGCTCTTATCGAGATACAAAAAATCAAATCACAGCCGCCCGCCTAACCGTTAGGTTTTCGGACAGCGTTTTTGTTAAAATTGTCACAAATAATGCCTTTAATTCTTAGAAATTACGACGATTCTATATTAGTCAGATGCAGTAATCATTTTAATAATGCTCATAAATGCAAGCTTATATTACGACACAAGAGAGGGAGGGACAAGCTATTTTCAAGATTCACAGCAACCAGCCGAGATATTTAAACCTAACATTGTTAATTAATCGTCACGTTAACTACCTGATCATCTAACTAAGGCAAATAGGCAATGTGACACGTGCCCGTCATATCTGCTCACTTTAATGAACATGACATAATTCTAACTATTGACATAGCCTAGTTAGGTATGAGTATAATGTCATTTTGGGACAGTTCGAATTACCCAGCTGATGTAATAAAATATAGAAATTTTGTAGTGCCACTGCCAGATTCAATAAAGGAGGTGGCATTTTACAATCACTATTTACCACGGGCCCCAGGCCAGCATTCGGCAGTTATATCAAAAGTGACAAGTAACAATCACGTAATCCATAATTCAGCATTTACTAGCAGTAAATCAGAAGTGACATTTCTAACAATTACGTAACCAGCATTCAGCAGTTAAATTAGGTTCAATCACGTTACCAGCATTCAGTATTCAACAGTAAAAAACGCAGTTCAACATTCCAAAAGTGTACAGTTCAACAATAACTTACGGTGCTAACGAGACAGAGGACGTTGAAGGGCATGCTGAAATCAGGGGTAGGCAGGTAAACTAGCGGAGACTCCGTGTATAAACGAACCACCTGAAATTAGTTACATTTCAGATAATTTTCAGTTACTTTTAGGTTACTTTATAGTTACTTTTGAGTTATTTTTCAGTTACTTTTCAATTTCAGTTAGGGTAACAAATCAGCCCCATTTTAGTTTTATATTACCTCTTTCTTAGATATTATTATAAAAGGTCTTTACGGTGACACCTTTGGTGCATACCAGCATACTCATAAAATCAACAACTACAGGAGTATACTGTTAAGCTAATGAAATAGGCAGTACACTGAAACTGTATTATTCTATCCTCAATTTGATAGTCAACACTACACTCTCAAAATAGAGACACAGAGTTTCGACTTCAATATTTATTTTTCACTTTGTAATTTAATAAACTTATCAAAAATAATACCTGTCCATCATTTTTAAAGGTTATGATTCCACTGGGAATACTTCTGCCATGATGTGCATCTGGTGGGTATTCATTCCAACGCAACATCAACGGGTCAAACTGAAATAATATTATTCTTAAATTCTAATATTGACATTTCATGTTATGTGGTGTTTTTCACTTTAATACTTATATATCGATCATCATAAGTCTCTTAATCATCAAAAAAGAAAATTATTTTGAACTCTTTTTTTTAAAACCCGATGATTTACCTGAATACTAAATTTAGTAGTTGATCCAGCTGGCACTGTTAATATCGTCTCAAAAGTATAAGGGTGACTCCTGTCCTTGGCTAGAGTCAATGACAAATCCTCAAAACTCAGCTGCTTGCTGGCAGGTAGAATTTGTTCCAATTTCATTGTGTGGACGTACGCTCGTAGATACCATGGAATGGACTGAGGGAGTTGATTAATTGATTTTCACAGGATGGTGAACAATTTTAAACCTTCCGGCAGTATTGATTAGTGCACGTTTCAGCGGAATTGTTGAGCTATGAAAGCGAATTTAGACGAACTAAACTCATACAATCATATTGTACATCTAATCTGCTCTAAAAATAACTCAGCTGTTCATTTCAACAAATTTCCTGTCCGATTCATATTAACTGATGCCCGCTACTGCCCGTCCTTGTCCTTTTTGGATACTATGAGATAATGCGACATTAGTGGACATGTCACCCCCACCCCCTGGCCTCCACACCCCCCCCCCCTTATAGTACCTGAAGGTACAGAATCTTTATGTCGTGATCTTTAGAGTTGGTAAAAACAGAAACAAGATGTCCGGAGCTGCTGCTGCTGACACGTGATATGTAGGTGTGGGCCAGGAGGGCCGGATTCTCCTCCAGACCAGTGGATATTTCTCTGAGGGAGACTTGGTTACTTTCAATGAATTAAGCTCAGGAATACCATACTGTGTTTTACGTGAAGGAATACGTCTCACAATCTAGTACTTGAAATGGATTGTCTTATTCTGGTAGAATTTATGATTTCAATAACGTAAGTCGTTAATATGTGAATCAAAGATCTTTAAAGCCATAATAACAGCAATAGAATACTGACTTGTTTTTAAAACGAAGATAGACATTAAGGATCTTGACAGTGGTGATGTTGTGTGCGTCAAATGATATCTCATTGTCCGATACTGTCGTGTATTCAGGGGGTGTTATTTCTAGAGCATCAATTGGCTCCAACGATTTTATATTGACCTGAAGAATGAATAATAATCATAAAATATGTGGACGTTGTTAATTCTTCAGAAAGTCGCCTAGTCTTATTCTCTAAAAAAAGCTGTTCAAAATTCAAAAAATGTATCGTATAGGGTGTATATCCATTCTTGAATCAAATATCAAACCTTAGTTTCGTAAGAGACTGGACATGACTTAACAAGAGTTCTCCCCAGCATGGTCCTGAAACTCCAATCCTTCCTCCCTGACAGCTGACAGGAGAGAATACCAAAGACAGGGTCAACTTTATCTCCCACCCAGGACTCGAACATCCCTCACAGTTCACTCGTCTGAGGAACGTGGCTAGTTAGGGTGAATTGTGTCGTGATTGTAATATGACGACTGAGATATACTTTTGACAGTTCCAATGAATCACAGCATGCAGAACAATGATATAATTATATTAACTTTAATAAACGCTTTTTTGATGATCTCGACAAGACTTATAAGTATCCCAAGTATCGACCAACAACATATTATGTCTATACTGGACGCATCTCTTATATCGTACCGAACATGGATTGCTAGCGAGTGATAAGTAGTATCGTAGAGCTTGCTGGCGTCCAGTAGAGATGCCAGACCAGCAGAGCTACCACAAGGTAGGAGTTTGAGCCAGGGGGTCAGGTTCTCCGTACATACCACCTCAAACGGGGACACACCGTACCTCATGTAACGGTTATCTGGAGGGGGTGGAGGTTGGGAAATTTATAGTTTGTTTTTTATTTTAATTGATCCTTCACCGAACAAGTACATGCCATCCGTATAGTGTGTAAAGTAGTTACTAGTCAGTGAACATACATTAAATACATTATCTCTATCAATATAAACTTGCCCTTACTCCTTAGTTGGGGAAGGTGTTAAAAATAGATAATTTGTAGTGAAGGTGGTAAATTTGCAGTTAAGGTGGTTAATTTGTAGTGTTCTACTTAGGTTATTATTATTCAAAATTTCACATGAAAAGCTGCATTTATGTGTATCAACTAATTTGAGATTTTGTACAAGGTGGAGATGTTCACACGTTTTTTAATTTTTAATCTATTATAAATTAATCATTGCTCGACAGACAATAAACACGCAAATGTATCATCTCGGGGTTTAACGTTTCTCTAACCGTCGTTTAATGTGGTGTACATATAATATCACTCTACGCTCATCAACAAAAATGCTTTGTTTGAGAGAAATTACACATAAAGTCTCAAGGTTCACTTTGTTATCAACGTTACAATTATAATTATAACATACTGTTATTCAAACTCCTGACGATACGATGCAGTATTGTCTAGATTCCTCAAGATGTTGCCGTTGGTGTTTGTTTTTTTAACGCTCGCTAGTTTAAATTTTATCAAGACGGATTGCCAACAGGAGGTGGTTCCACCATCGTTTAAAATAATTATCAACCAAAATGGTATCAAAAAGCTTGAAGATTTGCTGCACAAGGGGATGGGTGAATTTGAGGAAAAGATGATTGACACGGGAGCAATAACATTCCCTGACGTCTCGTCCAGCAGTTACAAGATAACGGACATGCGCCTCTCCGAACTGACATTGGAGCGTCCAGCTGTGCAAATTGTCCCAGGGGTCGGACTGAAACTGAGTCAGGAAATTACCTCAAGTGTTGTGGAGGGAGGCTATGGAGTTAAGGCCTTGTTTTTCTGGGTCAACGGAAAGGTCACCATGAAGATGTCGATGATGCTCGAAGTGACTGCAGGGACAGATTATTCCGCGGAGAGTCAACTGACCGTCGCAAGCAAAGCGTGCAGTGTTACTTTCCACTCTTTTGATCTAGACTTACATAATGGGCTATATTCAGCTGTTGCTAGCCTTATGAAGGGAATCATCACCAAACAAATCGAGACAAGTATTTGCAAACAATTAGTAAACCAACAGTTTGGTGATTTCAACAAAATGGACAAAATTCCTTTTGCTGATTTGACGGAAAAGGGCAGTCCAAAAGTCATTTTTAAAGCTGAAAACATTGAATTTTACGCAAGACTTACCAAAGATACAAATCTTCATCCGATGCCTGGTGTAGCAAACGAGAATGATCGGGAGATATGCCTGATTTTGTCGAAAAAGCTCGTTAAAACCTCAGGGGACAAAAAGATGCATCAAATGGAAATTCTGAAAAAGGCCAGAAAGTATGTACCGGCACTGAGCAAAGAAAACGTAGATTTTAAAGAGTTGGAACATTTTTATGGAATATGCTCTGACTTAGACCTCGTCGATGTGGTGATAGAATCCGAAGAAAAATTCGTCAATGTTAAACTTAAAAAGAGGAGAAATTTCATTCACTGCTAAGTTATTTTGATTTTAAGACAATTGAAAAATTTCGTCACTAAATTGAGTTTATTTAGTGAAGTTTTCGAAAGGATCAATGGAGAGTTTGATGAGAAAATAACAGTAATAATAAATCATTAGTAGTACTGATTAACGATTAAGTTGAGTTTTTGGATTTTAATATTATGGGTGTAAGATTTTGATAATAGTTATTTGCTAGTGAAATATACACGGCCCAGTGTGGTTTAATCTGTCGTATTTCTTCTCTTGTTTTGAAATCCCTGCCTCTTGTACAATACAAAATTCGCTTATACTCTTGTAGATACGCTCCGTTTCTACCTTTTGTTCTCTTGGTCCCTAGGGTCAGCTGACTCTGGGCCAAAGAATAATTGCAGCTCGCCAAGGTCGGATGCCTAGACAGTAGACAGTCGAGACCTCTAATTGAGACCATGTGTAATAATAAATAATGTTCAAAATACTACTACTAAGTAAAATGTATACTCAGTATCTGAAATAAACAAATAAATGTCACTGAGATCTGCGCTGTCCTTATTGCTCACCTCCCTTGGTAGAAGTCAGACCAGCCGGTTTGAGAGATAGCTTAGGAGAGATGGTATCTTCTGATGACAGTGCACCGAGGGAGGCGCAGGTTATACCTGGTGTTAGAGTAGATATTATAATGAATAATTTCACCGGGAGGGGCCAGCCCACTTCTATGATAAAGTTAAGTAAGAGATAAAGTAGAGGTCCTCAAATAATCTGACGATTTTCTTAGCATCCAACAAAATATTCTTAACACTCGAATCGGAGGGACATTTCCTCAATAACTATTCACAAAACTTTCAACAAAACATGACAGTATAATATACTGTCAGTATATACTGTCAGTATATACTGTCATCTGGATTCTGGAAACACTAGAGATCAGGAACCCACCAGATATTGAGTTACGGACGTTGATCCACCTCTCGTCAATGTCAGCTAACTGTCCTCCGAACCAGACATGGAACTGTCCTCCGGGGGGCGCAGAGTGGGGGGAGTAGCCCCACAGATTATCTCTCCAGAGTCCCTGGGTAATTTAACTGTTAGATAAGCTGAGTTTCATCATTCGTATTATGATCGTGTCAGGAATCTTGATCAAATATCACACATAGAGACGCAAGCGCAAAGCATAATTACAGAATTCCATCATATTGTGCTTTACAAAATTCTTCTTTCGTAACATCTCCGAAAATTTTATCGTTCACATTTGATATATAATACATAATGTTGTTGATTGATAATATCCCAGTGGTAAATTTAAATTTAAAAATTTAAAGATATTACAAGAAAGAGTAAGACACATTCTACACATTGGAATGATGATAAAATAATAATTTGGTATTATTGAACGATACTCATGAAAACATTCTAAAAATCTCAACTCACGTCAATCTAAAAGTAAAAATCTAAATTATTGAGAATCTGTAAGCAAAGAATTAAGAACTTTATAAACAATCTGATGACATGCAATCGCAAAACATGTATACACTATACTATACAATATACACACTGTCACTATACAAACAAATTTGAATTCCCACCGAAAATGAGTCAATAGAACAAGTTTGGGGACACAAATTCAATAAATTGTTAAAATTTCCTATTTCGTTTCCTATTGAATTTTAATATTCTGTTTCTCACTGAGTCGACTCCAGGAAAGAAACTCGTTAAATCAGTTAATCAATCAGCTCATTTCTTTTTGCCGTCGAAATTAAAGAATTTCATGAACTTCCCAGTGTTATCCTTGGTACTGGTAGTGCTTTGACTCTGGTAGCTACTGAATGTAGTCTCTGATCTATGTTCTGAAGATTCCCCACCCGATGAAAATGATCTGACAGCCTCAGATCCAAATGAAATTCGTTCCGAAACTCTGACTTCCATAATCGACGCAACAAGGTCATTTCGACAGCCATCAACTGCATGAACGTCTGCCTCATTATTTATATCATCCACAAGGGATGCTACAAATGCTAAGGAACCGTTGGCATCAAGATCGAACCTGATTTGTACTATGTTTCCCGGAGGTAAGTTCACCAAGCGGAACTGTCCAAGAAGGGTATTTTCCGATGCAACATCACTTTCCCCTTCAAGCACTTTTATGTGCATGTCTGATTGCTTTTCCGAGGACGCCTTGAATTTTTCATTTTCTATTAACGGAATTGTTCGATTCACCTTTACTATACGAGCCATTCCACCCCCACTTATTTCCACACCAAGTGACATAGGGCAAACATCTAGCAAAAGAAGATCACCTAGAATCCCTTCGGCCTGATACCCAGAAAGAATAGCAGCTTGAATAGCCGCTCCAGAAGCCACTGCCTCGTCAAAATTCATGCTTTTATTCAATCTTACTTTGAAGTCAAAGTGTTCCAGTATCAGATGCTGTATCTTTGGAATACGAGATGATCCTCCAACTAGAATAACTTCCGCCAACTCTTTTTGTCTAAGCGAAGTTGTGAGTCTCTGCGTTGCTTCACTCAAAACATCAATAATAGTCGCAAAAAAACTGGCGGTCATCTTCTCAAACGTTTCCCTGGTTATCGTTATAGAAAAGTCTCTTCCGTCAAACAGAGACTCAAGATCCACCCTCACTTGGGACTGGAAAGAGAGAGCTATCTTTGCTTCTTCACTGGCTTTCTTCAACCTCCGTATAGCACGCTGATCTAAGGAAGTCAGATTCTCCTTCTTCCTGAACTCTTTTACCATATACAAGAGAAGGTTGTTGGTAAAATCCTCTCCTCCGACATTAGCCCCTTTAGTCGACACAACCTCGCATATTCCCTGCTCTACAGTCAGTAACGAAACATCAAGTGTTCCTCCTCCCAAATCGAATACCACAACTAATCTCTCGTCCGTCACATCTGCCCCCAGGTGGTGTGCGTAAGACATGGCAGCAGCTGTGGGCTCGTTTATAATCCGGATCACCTCCAAACCAGCCAGATTAGCAGCCTGAGTTGTAGCCTTCCTCATGATCACCCCACAGTTGGCAGGAACCGTGATAACAGCTTTCTTCACATCACACCCAAGGTAATCTCCCGCTGCTTCTCTCAATTACGACAGGATCATCCCAGAAATGTCCTCCGGTGAGTACGTCTCTTCAACACGCCGGTTCACCACCTTTATCCTAACCTGGCCGTCCTTACCGGAGATCAGTTCAAAGGGCCACATCCGCTTAATGTACTGCAGAGAACCCGGATCTTTAGCTATAGGGCAATTCCACGGTAAGGTTCCACTTGGTGAAAATGAAAAATGTTAAGATAGGCACCTAAATTTGGTTAAAATATGTTCATTAGACTCTTAACCTTACAGGTCAACAAAAGTTTTTTGTTTCATATTGCATTAACTTTTGATTTTTCTCATTCAAAGGAACACTACTCGGAAATGAAACAAATCATTCAAATTTTCAAAGGGCCATAGTTTGGGTATGCAGCAATATTTCTCTATGAAATTCCATACACTTAAGCATAGGCATAAGAATGAGAGCCATGCAAAGTTTCAAAACCGTTACTCAAATGCTTTTTCTAAAAAATTTCCACAAAGATGGTGTCGCGTCTGTCACAAAATTAAGCAAAAAAGTTTTTTCAGAGCCACATAGTGCTATTTATATTCAAAAAACCACTGTAACCTATCTCTTCTGAAGGTAAGGGAGTACCGTAGAAATTATCAGGCTTGTATCTTTTAAGAAAAAAATTTTGGAAGGGGGGTCCCAACTTGTCGCGTCCGTCACATTTTTTTGAAAATGCTCCAAAAAATCTTTTAACAGACTTTAAATGCATTTTTGTTAAAGCTTAGACCGTTCTTAACAAAACGATGTTGTCAAATCGAAAATTGGACAGAAAATGACTGAGTTATGTATAATTTTGTATATGCCCATATATGGGCGTACGGCTAGCTTTTAGCCATTATTATCCATATTTCCATTATTTTGACTAAAACCAAGACAAATTGAAGTCAAATAAGGTTTGACTATGTTGACTAGACTATCAAATAACATCATATACAATTCAATAATTAAATTTACTGAGTTTTGCCATTTTATTTGCCTTAACCTTTTTCAGGGGTAAAAGGCACAAAAAATGGACTTTACCCTATTGTCGCATATTTTTGAAGTAAAAATTCAATATCTTCCACATTTTAAACACTAAAGTAATGAAACTTTTGGGAGATGGTCTCAACAGTGTGATGTGTTGAACAGAAATGAATGTTTCACCAGAGTTATAAATTTGTTCAAGTAGAGAAATAATTGCTGCCCCTAGATTGATACCCTCGCGTATGCCCAAAATGGACGATTTTGGCTATTGCAGACCTCGTGGAAGTACTAGCGGCCTAAAAATTTGCATAAATATAGAATGAAGGTCACTGAACAAGATAAAAGTGTCAAATAGAAGATTTGGAGCAATTGAAAAAAAAACGTGTGTCCGTCACAGTCACGTCTGTCACAATTTGAAAATGGCGCCACGCAAACAAAAACTGAGCATTCTCCAAAAAAATGGTATCTCAGAAATCCCTAAACCTTTTTCTATCACTGCATGTCCAAATTAGAGATAATAGATAACGTTTTGAGATAGATTTGGGTACCTTCTGAGTAGACACCCACAAAAAGTGTCATATTTAAGTCGCGTCCGTCACAGGGGTGCTATCTCAGAAAGTAATAATGGTAGGGGTCTGAAATTTTCACACAACCTATAGAAAGGTTAAATGTGGACTAATAAATAGTTTAAGCTGATATAGAAGCAACATCCTGAGCACAACATTCGTTTGAACTTTAAAAAATGGCATAATCGTGGTGTCCGTCACGGTGGAATTGCCCTATAGTTCCTATAATGTATTTAGTGTCGTAGACAGTGTTAGACGGGTTTCTGGATATCTGACTTTTGGCTGGTTCCCCAATGAGGACTCCATCATCAGTGAAGGCAACATAGCTCGGGGTGGTCCTGTTACCAAATTCGTTGGGTATGATGTGCACTTTACCGTCTTTGTATACCCCAATACAGCAATGGGTCGTACCTAGGTCTATTCCGATGGCAAGCTCTTCTGACATAATTCGGGATGATTCCTAAGTCATTGCGTCCTAAAGAATAATATCAATGTTAATACTTTGATATAAGTTATCTCCAGCCACGTCAAAATATTTTTCTAGGCTCACAATAGTTGACATGACCATCCTGACAATAACCAGATTGCCCTATTTTTAATTAACCACTTTGTTATTACAATAGGCTAATTAATGAGCTATTACACACAAATAACACAGTAACACATTAACGACGTTCTTTTTTAAAAATAAATATGCAACCTACCAAAACCAATGGTGATTGGTGCCCCCTGATTCTGGTGTTGATTATAGGGGAGGTAGATGGGAAAACCCCAGGACAAAAATCATGGCACGAAGAATCTAGCTTTAAAGGGGGTGTAAATTAGAAAGTGTATAAATCAGCATTATCAACCACAACACTTTATCATTAGTTTTATACAATATAAAATTGTTAGCAATATACGAAGTAAGTAATAGCTAAATAAAAATTTGTTCATCTAAGAAAATAAACATAAACAACAAAAGTTTTGAGAAACGTAGCAGACACACAAACACAGCAAGATAGCTGTGTTCACATACAGAGATGAGGGTGCTTGCTAAATGCTAATAGACGGGCCCGCTTGACGTATTAAGCAATTTTTTATTTTAGCGCTAGTGTGGGAAGTAGATAGAGAATTCAAACTTCGACTAAATTGTTGCTCATAATTAAACTTTTGGATTACAGAGCACTAAACATGTGTCGTAAAACTGCATTTACTCACCCTTTAAGTTGTTAGTGCCTACTGCTAAAATAAGATCAGAAATACCATTATATATATATGTTTCTGTCTCTGGTAAATTCTCGACCGTAGCTATAAAGGTATCAGATCCAGGTAAGGCGGCCCCTTAAATTCCTTTTCCCTGTCCGAATTTGATTTTTTCCCCCGAATTAGAATCACCAAGTAAAGCAATTTTGGTTCCAGGAGAACCTACTGGCACCCATCCCGACTCGATTTTTACTGAGTTTGACCCTGAGAGAGTTTCTAAATTTCGCCTCAAGCTCAACATTTAAGTTTTCCAAGGCAACGACACGGTCTGGCAAATCTGTGATTTCGAGCTGATGGGACCCCGCTCTCTCCTCAATACAAAACATTCGGGAATCATACTTTATTGGAGATTGCATCAAGTCTGGCAACAGTCGAATTAGAAAAATTAACAAACAGCTGTTCGATTTGCTTTACCATAGACTGCTCTTCGGTCTTAATAGGAGAGCCCAAAAGGTTTAAATTTTGACGTTTTGAGGCATCCTTGTCAGAAGGCAAACTACTGGCACTTACATCAGATAAGCTCCTTTTATCATCAGATTGGTTAGAGAGAGAACCAGAAAAATACTCTAGAATACTAGCCATAATCGTAAAATATGGGAAAAACTAAAGTTAAGACGGTAAAAGTCTAGTACGTGGTAATGAAGAAGTACGTGTTATAGAATGTATAGCAAAGACTTTAGGGGAGTTCTAGAAAAAACAAGTAAAACCACACAACTTTAACGGTTACAAATTAACTTAGATAACGATTATCATACTTGTAGGCAGTGAATTCGGGCCACCCTACGAAGTTGACCCACCTGAGTAAGAGTAAGATGGAGCTCTTCTATCTGATAGTTGAGGAGTATAGACACAAGAGGTCGAGGGAGCACATCAAAATGTTGCTTGTTCACGCTGTCTGATACGCTGGTAAAACTGAATGCCGTGTTTACCTGTAAAAAACTCACGTTTGATCGGGTTATATAGACTTTCTTTTGAACACAGTCACAAGCTAAAGCTATGTCTGTTGGCTGTTGCTAAATCTCCATTCTCGAGCGCAATGTCGCCTGAGTTGGCACCAAGTACTGTGAAAGGACAGTGTAGAGTCAATAAGCAGCCTCTTCTTGAATATGATAAGATAAATTGTATATTTTAGTAGTACTAACCTTGTTACCGGGTAAATGGGTGATATCCAAGCTCTCAGAATAGCTCTCAAGACAAATCACCACAGAGATAAAGAAAGAGCAAACTGTTGCCAGCCTCAACATTTCCTACGATGTGATGGGGAATTAATTTTAATTTAATTAATTTAATTGATGCGATTATGGTTTTAGTCTGCAAGTCTTGCAAGTTATTGTTTACGAGAACCAATCAATATCTGTGATAGTGATAAAGACAAGTAACAAATACCTTTTTTCTTTGAGTGAATCAAAATTCGTGAAAGCGACTATTAAGAATAAATTTAATATCATATAATCTAGAAACATAATTTATGGTGCACCTAACAATATTAGCACCTAATAACGAGGATTACTGAATTTAAAATAATCAGTAAACCTCCCTTAACAAATTGTAAAAATTCTATTGCAACTTGTTCTTTCAGCTGTTAACTGTTAACTGTTAACTGTTAACTGTTAACTGTTAACTGTTAACTGTTAACTGTTAACTGTTAACTGTTAACTGTCGGTTATTTTCTGCCTTTCCCTTTTCTGATAATTTCAAACGTGGTAATGTACATTCTTTCTGCACGATCCAAACAGTGTAAGTCAGATCACGTGTGGTGAACAACATCGTCAGACACATCATGCCCAAATAAGGACACAACGCTGTGTGTAGGATACAGTGGATCAGAGGCACGATGACACCCAGGACCCAGGCGATTAGTCATCATCACTGTCAAGTACTGAAACATCTCTCTTCCTCTTGGAGAGTTTAGGACGTTCCTCCTCCGATTCGTCCGAGTCCTGATCTGATCCCGACTCGGAGTCTCTTTGTGAGCCAGACTGTTTTCTTCCCTCTTTCATCATTCTGCAAAGTAGGGACTGGGTAACATCAGGAAGTTTATATGGTAATCAATAAAACAGTTACACTGCAGTCGAGCTTCAATTGGCCTTTTTCCTGGCATAAATAAAATGTTACATTTTTGCTGTTTAGCAAAAATAATCTTAGTTACTGCCCCTTACTTTTGAACCATGAGGCAGTTCTCCTTCACGCTAGCAGAGATGAAACTGTAACTTGACTTGATCTGTCTCCACAAGTTAGCTTGGTTATAGATCACGTGATTCGTATCAACTGCCTATTGGAATGTGGGTTAATAATTCATCCTAATTTCAAATCAAACCATGGTTATTTAGTTCATGTTGGTTAAGAGCCTGACCAGCAACCAGGTGAACCAAATAAAAGTTTCAAGTTTTTCATCCTTCCTTCAGACAAGTAAAAGAAGAAAATCAATCCAAACAAAAAACACACATTAGAGCTGAATAACCAAACCGAATAATCTCACTGCATAAAATCAAAGTGTAAAAGAACTAACCTTGCAGATAGTCTCAACAAACTGGACTAGAATATTCAGTCTTTTATCGTCCATACTGGAAACAGCAGAGCCGATAAAACCCTCAATAATCCTGATTACTCCTTCACCGTACTTATCTATCCACCAAACTGTTATAGGTATCACCTGGGGTAAAAGTACTGTTAGTTCTAATTAACGAATTGTTATTTTTAAGTTTGTCTTGTCGTATCAAGGATTTGTGAGAGTCAGAGCAGGTTACTTTTCTTTTCTAAATTTCTACGCCTTATAGTTTAAACTACACAAATGAAAAATTAATAAACGATACACAAACTCACTAGTTGATCCTCAAAGTTCTGCAAGAAGATAATCTTCTTGACGACCTTTTCCGTGGGCTTCACAGATTTAAGGAATATCAACATCGAACTAAAGAGCTCAAAATGATGAGTATCTTTAATATCTTTCAGCACATCTATTACCTGAACAACAACTGGTTACAGAAGTTAAACAATTAACACGTGGTTAGAGACGTGTTAAGGATTGCACTAACTTACTATCAAAACATCAAATCAATAATCCAATATTTGTACATAATTCAAAGCTATTAGTCTGAATTTTTAGCCAAATGATTAAAAAACTAACGGATTCAGAGGGAACACTCTCCGCAGAAAGAAGCTGCCAGACACAATACTGTTCAAACGTTTCCCACTCAAGAGTGGCCCGCAGAAGAGAACTGATTGATCTGACGTTGAAAATCTTCATCTTCTTACTCATCACGTTACCTGGCAAAGCATTAGTTTTTACAGGTGAACATTATGATTGTTCATTTTCCAAAGAACAGAACTTACAAACAAAGTAACTCGCACACTTAAAAATAATCCCCTAAAGTTCGGCATATTCGGACAAATGCTGAAACATGCTAAAACATGTTAAAACATGCTAAAACATGCTAAAACAAATGCTAAAACATGTGAGGTTGACAACCATCCCCCATTTCAACTGTTCAATATGAATTTATATCTTTTTAACTTACAAACAATAGTGTGAAGTTGTTGAGAATCAATACAAGACACGATAAGATGGAGAATGCTTGAGTTGCCGGTGGTTACAGCCGGGAACTTCTGATAGAGGTCGGGGATTATTTTATAGAAAGTTGCGGGACTGTCTTCCTCTTGGCAGATGCGTAGGTCCTCCGTTAGACAGGCTTTCAGGGTACCCGCACTTGTATAACTCGTAAACTCTGGGGTGGTGGGCATAATTAAATAGTGGCATCTTGTATGCCCTGTTCTAGGCACAACTATTCTTCGTGCGGCACGCGAAAAGGATTCATTTATAACTTAAAATTAAACCAATAATAACTTAAAATTAAACCAAGAAATATCTTTATTAATTATTTCGTAAGTTACCTAGATATAGGTCGAGCTGAGCACGGCTATACAAATAGTAGAGGAGGTGGTATCCTACTCTCGGTTCCACGTTGTAAAACTCTGATAAGAACTTCCAAATCCGGGGTCTTTTGTCTTTAGTTAGGATGGATAATAGCTGGAATATTCCATGATGGAGAGGAACCTGTGAGAAAATAACTGTCACATTCAAGAGTTTGCAATAACATATTTTATTTTATTTTATTTCGACCTAATTCCGAATACATTCGGTTGATTGATGTCCTGCAATCTGCATTAATCTAAAGCGTTTTCCTGGTTCGATTTTAATTATTACTGAAAGAATATTTTAATTTGGTTATCTATCTTGAAAATTAAACTATCGTTAATTTAAAAATTATAGTGCGTTTGACTTTGATATTACAAAAAATCTGTTTCGTCCAAAGATTTCAGTAGTAATTTGTTTGTAAGGCGAGTGATTTTATTAGAGCATTTGTTAGAGAAATTGTAGCTTAAAGCAAGTTCAATCCCCAGAATATGTTTAAAATTTGTTTCTCTACTTCCCCAGAAAGATACCAGACATTTCAATTTAAATGAACATCTTGTTTAAATACGATTTAAAGAATTTTACAAAATTATTCTTAAGTAGTTTATAATAAAGAGTAAGGTTTTCATGTAGGGTTAATTTAAGGCAAGACGTGTCGTGTAATATGTTCAAGAAACCATTTAATTGAAATACGTGAAATAATTTTTGTAAAGTAAAACACGTTTTCAAATTTTTGGATCACACTTTAAATGGGTTTCACGTTAAAAACCTGCCAGAAAAATTCATATGCACCTGTTCATCTTCATCGTCCATAACACTAAGACTAAAATAGGGCTGTAAAGTGACGTGCAGACATTTGGCGACTGTAGCCAGTTTAGCTCGTGTCCAGGCTGGATGATCCATTATTCTCGATATCACGTTGCCGAAAGAGGTTCTCTGTGCTATGTTCTCTGCTTCATAGGCAAACTTTCTGATTTCCTGAATGATTTTTAGAATTACTAATACATTTAAAAAAAGTAAATTTAGCGTCCGAGGAATAAAAGCATAAATCAAAAACATAAAATACACTTCCAACCTCTTTGATACTTGGGTCGAGGTCATCGATAAGACTAGACAGTCCACTGTCGTTATCCTCCGAGTACTCTGACGCAGAATCTCCACCCCCTACACTTCCACCACCTCTGTCATCTACTGTGCCATTTTCTACTGGCTCCTTGACAAATTCCGGCACATACTCCTCTTCCTCCTCTTCCTGGGACCCGGAAAAGGCTGACTCATTGAGCATCTTCTCTCTGTTGTCCAGAGAGAGGTTAACAGCTGGAGGAGGGGGAGGTGGGGGAGGGGGAGACCTTGTGTCGTCATCAGAGAACTTACTGTCGTCATCCTCCTTCGCCCCCACATCCTCTCCACGGCCTGTTAAACACATACCCGGAAACTTCCTGTGAAAAGAGAGGCGGAGCTCTTCGTCCAACTTAGGGTGGCTGACCAGTAAGGCGAAGTCTGCTATCACCTTTTTGTCGATGATATCCTTAAAACTGTTGTTGATACCTGACCACACCTCTCTCTGTAACTCTGGACAGAACTCGTCCGTCATTCTGATTATGAAGTCCATGAGGGTGGCAGCTATTACTGGATGAGATTTTAGAGCGTGGTTCATGACGAGGATACCAGGCTCGATATTCATGATACTGTCCGATTCTTTGTTGTAGAAAAACCAATCATAAAAAAGCGCTAATTTAGTCTGAGCTGCCATAACGTTTGAAGTTATGGTTGTTAACAGCCAGCCGATGAGTGCCCACCGTGGGACAATGTTCGAATTTAACATTTCATTTGTAGGATGTATTACCCCACAGATATATCTGATACAATCACAAACTAAAGTCTGAGTCTCCGGTCCGGTGAAGTACCGTTTGGCAAACCAAGTCTGGTACCGCTGGTGCTGACCAAACTTGACCTGGGTAGCTAGAAAAGAGAGTCTTGCCTCCATGTCGGGAGTAAGTCTGGAGGCCAGAAACCGGCGAGACGTTCTAACTGATAGTATTTGAAGGATCCCCGTGAAGCTGGGACTCAGTTTCTGAGGACTGTACAGAATGTCTCGCCACAAGTCTATGAACTCTGGTATTTTAGCGACCCCTTGAAGCAGTCTGATAAGGTCTCTGCCTAGCTTCATACATTCCGTGAAGTTTTCTCTGATTAGTTTGATGGAGAGGGAGATTTCTGCTTTGCGTAAATGTGCAACCTGGGAGAAAATATTTTACGTTCATGGTCGAACATATTTGACAACAGCTATGTATTTATCGTTCTTTAATGAAATTCATAACAGTTTAATTTCAAAATGTATGTATTAGAGACCATGGAAAAGTCAAATTGAAATTTAAAATCTTACCTGAGGGGTAGTGTGATCTATAATCAATCTAAGGAATGTGAATACTGATAGATTTAAGATAAACGAGTTGGCAACCACCCAATTCAGCTGGGACGTAACAATCTGGAGGAAATCATAAAGATAAATTTGGAAAATAAATTCTTCAGTTGTATTGGAAAACGACATTTGAAAATATATTGGAGGTCTTAGGAGACAAATTCAAATGCAAAAACGGTCATCATTTGCAGATCCAGGCTGGATTTTTTACCTTGATCATCTGCTCAGCGAACAGGACGTTTGGGCTCCTTGTGTCGCCACCTTTAATACAACTCATCATGAGTACAAACAACTGATCACCTCCAGGAATATTACTGAAAAACAACATACCAGAAAGATATTTCTTCAATAAATGAAATTTTATTAATATATTTTATAAAATATAAAAGCACATGCAAAGTTGCTTTTGTAGACAATTTTGAAAACATATAATAATTTGGTACATTACCTTGTGATAATCTGTTCTAAAATCCAGATAAGTTGCATCTTTACCGGCATAAGAAGTTTCTCGAACCTGGAATATTTTCCATATCATTTAACGCATTAACTTCGTATAATACGGATTACGAGAAAAATATAACATAATATGCTGAGTATCTCGAAACAACTGTGTTCACAAGAGTCTCAAAAAACAGTAGTTCCCGCAATCAGACAAACGAATGAGTTTTTAAAAGTTCCAATTAAATCTTTACAACACGGGTAGAATATCGAGAGTATCTTGTATTATATTACTGAGAATTATATTATTATTACATTACATATTGTATTACCTGAGTGAGACCAGCTGATTGAGTCGAGCCAGAACGAGCAGCAGGTTATCACGTGACACAATAGTCAGGTCCCTCCACGCCTTACTCGCCTGACTCTGGTCCGTTAACATCACGTACAACAGGGCTACACATACCTGGGGCGGATAATACTCGGTTATGAATCGCGTACATTAGCAAAAATAAGACGTTAATTATATAAAGACTGGTATTTCCTCAGAATGTTAATTCAGTGCCCCACAAATTGAAGTAAAGGAGAATGGTATGAAGGTGTAAGTACTAAATACCCGTTTGTGGCTGTCTGGATTAGAGGATGTCAGGACATTGAGCTTGTCTAGTGCCTCCCTCTCTGATAGACCTGACAAGTAGGGTTCATTATCAAATAAGCGAAAATTTGGTGCTTATAAGTGTGTCACTTTAAAACATTACACCCTTCTAGATATGTTGCCATCGAATTTTTTACATTCACAAAATGGAATCGTGATTCATGTGAAACACTAACATATTATGTGAAAATAAAATAAAAAAGTATACAAGTACCTGTTAAAGTCTGAAGTAAAAAGTCTTTATCTAAGAGGAACTCTGAATCTATTTCATCGTTTGTTTCAAGGTTGTTCAGCGAGAACAGACATGATTTGGGTGGTTCCATTCACTTTAAAAATAGGATTAATATCGACTGGAACCATTTGCAGAAACATTGTATTGAAGACAAAAAAACTGTTTTGAAAGAGTTTGCCTTGCAATTAAAGTTCAGGTTCATTTTGTTTGCATCATGATCCATGATGATTTAAGAGAGAAAATACGGCAGGGTATTAAAAGTTAAAACTGTCCAATCAATAACGTTCATAAAACATCCTGTATATTACCAAGTTTAATAAATTAAAAGCGTCAAACCATTCACACTGAAAATCAACCACTGTACCAAAGGAATATTTCGAATAGGGAACTTTAAAAATAAAGGCTCGTCAATCATTGATACTCTCTTTAATCTTCTTCGATTTTTTTACTTTTTTCGTGGTATTATTAGCATTTTCACTATCTGTCCTTTTCTTTTTCGTCTTCTTAGTTTTTACTGGCTTTACAATATCATTTAATATAGCACTTTCGACCATATCAGTATCATTAGATAACTCATTATTTTCTGTACCATTTTCTTTATCCGCAGTCACTTTATCACTGATTATTTTTTCAAATGATTCAATGTTTTTCTTTTTCTTCCTCTCGGATTCTTCCCACGAACTGACGCCTAGTTTGAAAGCTTTCAAATTGCAATTCCTCCACACTATGGAACCATATGTGTTGTCTCTGACAGCTGACTCTTTTGAGATTAGAATCTGAAATAAAATGTCAAGCTACTTTTTGGAGGAATATCTTAACTTTATCTAACGCTGCAATATGCCATTGTCTATAATGACAATTGACACATGCGAAATAATCAGTCGATGCATAATTTGACATTTGTTGGACGACCTGCTTTGATGAATATGAACAATTTTATGCGCCAGTATTTTACTGGCAGACACATAACAGAGGCGGCTAGTTATATTATATTAACTATTAAGCAAATTTAGCGGTCATGATAAACTGATCACAGCAGATTTAGATAACAGTGGTTGCAGGCTGGTTGATAAACGGTTGGAGTAAACTCCTTTTCCCTAATAAGAGCATTTTTACTTGTCGCAGTAACCGGGATAAATATAATTTTACACAGAATACATTACAACCATGCGACTCATAAACAATACTCCAATCCGGATTTTACACGTTACCTGAGCGATGGAAGATTTTATCTGACTGTCAGCAGCGTGCCACATAGCCTCAACTATTCTACTGCCGGACGGGGTGGTCACCAACCTGTCAACTACGAATACTGCTGTTTTTAGGAACCTGGAATCATATTAGTTAGAAAGAGAATGAACGATGTATATTCATCAACTTCTTTATCGTTTTTTTTGCAATTTGTACAATTGAATGCTCCTGAACTAGAGTACACTTGAATTATTGTATATAATCTGAATATAATCTGAATAGATGCTGTCACCCCTCTATTTTCGGTCTGACTGTATCATTTCAGTAATTCAGTCATGATGGATATTTGATTTAACTCATGCGTGAACGAGTTAATGTTAGAATACAGGTCCGCTTTATGTGGAATTTAATAGACGACAAGAATTTTAACAAGCTGACGTTTGAAGTTTCTAAATTTAGAAAGAGTAATGAAATGAGTAGACCACCCTCAGAAAATTAAAAAGTTAAAACTGCCAAAGAAATTCAGCTGAATTTTTGTCGATGAATGTTACTTTTCACGGAGGACAAAGCAATAGGTCTATCATTTCTCAACTCTGTCAGTATTAGTGAAGGAACTAGTATAGAAAGAGATCAGAATATTCTTTATTTTTTGATGATATAAGGACCAAAAAACCAAGAACCACAGTCGGCAGTCCTGTGGTGGAGTATTGGTCCCAGCTAGACGTGACGTGACGCGTTACGTGATCGATTGTGTGACGGGTCACGTACTACAGCTAGGGTCTTACACTCCAACAGTTAACGCAGGCTATTAATTTATATTAAAAGATTAAAGTCGATACAATAATTACAGGCGAGTTTACCTGGCGATTTACCTGGCGATCTTAATCGTCAAATCTCTGCCCCTAGGATTTTATCATTAATTTGATACTTTCCCAGTCACTGATTGCAGTCTAGTTTTTTGTCTCGTCCGACTGTTACGAGTTACGACTGTATTAGGAGATTATGATCATAGTAGTCACGAATCACAATCGCTATTTCATTTACTCAAGCGTGACGAAATAAGTCACTACATCCCCTTTTCAGCGGAAATTCTGATAGTAGTTGACATTTCTGTGGTCTAAACAGACGAAGATAATTTAAATGAGCACGTCAGAGAAATGATTCAAAACATAGGATTCCAACTGGCGAAGATTACCCTTAGAAAATTAAGACAGTCATAGAAATTTAGCTTAGGTTTTTAACATTCAAAAACCCGGATTTGAGTTGTTAAACTTTATTTGATAATTACAGGAGATACTCTTCCTTTTGCTTTTTGATTTGACTTTAATCAAAAGTAATTATTCGGAGAATTTAAATTAAAAGCTACAAAATAGATACAAGCTACAAATTTGTAAGGTGATTTACATAACCTCATACAAAAATCTTCCTAATACCTTACAAGACATTTTTATAACGTACGAAATGCGACGGTTTTCCCGAAATTTCGCCATATTTTCGGACAGCCAAAATTTCGGTCGTCGTAATAGAATCCGTCGCATTATTTTTAGCTTATTCCAATAATTGTGGCTTCATCGATTCATTTTGTTCTTGAAAAGTTAGTAATATGATGGTGGGACAAATAAACACAATATTCCATGATGAATTTAATGTCAAGTTATACGTTTTAAATTAACAATAAATTACATTTATGTGCTAACATAAACGTCTTATAGACTAAGTCAAGATAAACAATTTAATACCAAACTCAATAAGTGAAACTGAAAGATTCGAGCCGGACCCCTTAGAGGAAGATGAAGAAATCGATTTATAAGTTTCATTTTGTTTCAACATGATTTTACCGATTTTTAGAAAATTTTGAATTTCCTTTGTGTCAGAAAACAAAATGATGAAAAATACCCTTATTTTCTGTGACGTCCGAAATGTGACGGTTTTTGTTCAATTTCGCCATATTTTCGGACCGCCAAAATTTCGGTCGTCGCACATTGGTCCGCCACAAAAATGTCTTGTAAGGTAGTTGTTAAATCATGATATTTTATTCCTCTGCACCAATGAGTTTATACTATGCACGTTGCAGATGATTACGATCAAGATAGAAATGGTGAGGTATGTTACCTGGTGCCATACTCAGGGCCATAGCTCTTTGCAGGCGGTAGATTAAAACGTCAACAAACCTAAAAGGTTAAAAAACAGATATCTATCAAATTTCTATCAAGTTTATACAGTAAAGGTCACTCTCAAACTTAAACTTTGTCTTATTACAGTTTGTCTTCTCAAGAAGCGATATATTCGCTTTTAACTTCATAATACATAAATCATAATTGTCCATGTGGCAGCACAAGTGTCTCAATTTTGCCAGCCATGCGAAAAGGATAATGGCAGTCCGCAGTTAATAGTCTATCAGGAACCAACTTTAACACTCATGTTTTCGATCTTGTTGAAATAAACTGACTCTTGAATGTCTATCTTGGTGCATATTGTTGCGTTCAGCTCTCCTCTAAAACTCACACTGTAGCATCTTCCCTCCTGAGTAGGCTTCATCTTTCCTTCCTCTAGCTCGAGCAGTATGCTACCATCATCTGCATCCATCTCAGCCACGACTCCAAGCTCCAACATCCTTTGAGTCAAGTAGTCAGGACGTTTTGAGAGTATGGCCGTGTACTGGAAATCAGGAAGCTTTGACATTACGTGAGACATGATGGTTCTAGTTGAATCTCCGTAGATGAAGAACTTCTGCTTCTCCGGGTAGGTCCCAGAAGAAGACAGGTCTAAACGTTGATACCGGGGAATGTCAACCACTTTGAAGATAACAGTGTTACCGGCGGCATCATGAGAGAATTTCATGCGAAACTCGGAATCCTTGCGATGCAGCAACTCGTGAAGATTGAGGCGGGTGGTGCCCGTCTTCTTCTCCGCAAGCGTTTCGAATACCACAGGTAAACCGTCTTGTCTGCAAATTGATCGATACTTTTTCACCATTTCTTTGTAGGAATTGGACATCCTCACTTTCACTGTAGCTTGGTAATGGTGTTCAGGAATGCCATTACAAGTCATGTATTCAATGAAAATCTCGTTTTTTAATAATTGATCACAGAGAACAAACTTGTGGATTGCAAAGTCGTCTTCAATGCGTCCAATAGCGTTCAGTACAACCATTCGGAAAGAATCGCTTATTTCAAAGGCTGATTCATTTGATTGCCAGGGGTTCATGCATGTATTCACCATCACATTCAAGTCCTCGTCACCTTGATCCAAACCGAGTTTTTCTTTAAAGACCGAAAGGCCCTCACCGTGCGCCTTTGCTTTAAGTCCAGACTCCATCAACATGAGAGGAACTCGGCCAGCATTGGACCCTACAAATACGTTCATTGCGTCAGATAGAGCGTCCTGAAGCTTGTTGCATTTCCTGATATCGGTGTTACCCTTGAAGTTCACTACAAACGTGTTGATCAAGGTATCAGGACCGCATGTAGTCAGAAAGTTCTTGGCTTCTTGGTTCTGGAAGATCTCGCTCAGTTGCTTGTAAGCTATTGTTTCCTTGATCAGTTTCCTTGCACTGGTAATGTTATAACCTTCGGGGACATTCTGCAGCGGGACACATACGAATGGGTCATCATCCTTCGCCACTGTCAACCACAAGGCATAGAAGATTTTGGAAATTGTGGTGCACTGCCCCAATATCCGACCATATCCAAAATTGCTCAATCCAATGACTTTGTGCGACATCAATATCCCTGCTGGAGCAGCTCCCGGCTTTGACCCCTCAATTCCGTAGACACCCAGATTAGGATCGCCCTCACCATTCAGTACAACTGGGTGACTAAAGGCAATAGGATACCGCATCTTATTATTACGATAGCAGAGTGCTCCACCGGGATAAGGACAAAAACCAGACTTGTGAGGATCAATAGTGATTGTGTCCGCCAGCTGAATATTCCTGTATTGCTCTTCAACGTAGGGACTAAGCTTGCAATACGGAACAAAGCTGCCTGATGCCGTGTTCATCATTACATCTTCAGCAGGGGCACCTATAAGCATTGTCTTGAAGTAACCTCCCCAAGCCCCATCGGCTAGCAGAGCGAAGTTGAGTCCCTTCTCCTTGAAAACCTCTCTCAGCGCATACATGTCCTTAATTGGGTCCACTGCAGACTCCTCGGTGGAACCTATCACAGCCACAACAGCAATAACTGGCTTCTTTTCTTTCAGACACTTTTCCAGTACCTCTTTCAAATGGGCTAAGTTCTGCCTAAAATTTGTATCCAGATTAATAGGAATATTACCTTTGCATCCAAGACCCAAAAGTGTACCAGCTTTAGGCCAAGAGTAGTGATTATTGGCAGGGCATGTGTAGACAGGTGAATGCTCAAGGCCATGCTTCCTCATGAAATCAAATAATCCTTCGTTCATTACACCCTCATTTTCAATGAGACCATTCAATTTGATGTTGTCAACCTTGCCTAGTTTCCTCATCCGGCTACAGACTGTTTGTTCAAGGTCAAGAATCTCGTCCACATCTACATTGAGGAGCTGCCAAGTGGTGCACTCTACGAGGGCAACAGAATTTCTGCGTTCAGACTCACTGTTACCGACCAGCAATTGAGTTTTCAGACCTATCCTGACTTGGTCTTCAGACAGGAAGGTAAGTGGTCCAATCAGTGGATCATCATTCAACAGAGCTGCTTTGATAGAAAGAGGTATAAATTTAAGGTTCCGGGACGCCCAAAGAGCTTCGATGTTGGCCACAGAGCCCCCGCAAGTAACATGACCCCAAGAGAGAGGTTGTCTACTCCTAGGGTCGATGTTGTATCCTAACATGTCACAAAGCTGTTGTCCGACTTCTTGTTCATACTGTGTTGTTACAGGACTAGCGGCTGAATCCACGTTGTTTTGGTTGAAGAGCATGGCAGTCATGTAACCCAGCAGAGATGGCATGGTGGAGTCCCACAGCATGTGGGCTTGGTATCGAGGTGAGAAGAAGGGGGTATTGCCAGCCATGTCTTCCTGCATCTTCATCAGACAGTCTCTCATGTCCTCCACCTCGCTGAGATAAGGTTTCGACAACATCACCTCCTCGGTCAGGTACTCAGGGTCCGCTGGAAAGAAGCTCTTTCTTAGCCGAACATGCTCATCAAAGATGTCCTTGAAAATGCTCATGAACACCTCTCCGTTTTCGGCTCGTGGACCAAGAAACCAACCACCTAGAGCCTTCCAAGGGTCATCGTAATCATCTCCTATTGGGGCGTTTCCTCGGGGCATAATACACTGGATAAAATAGGTTCAGTTTAGTTAGTTAATCAATTAGCAGGTTTAAATGAACTTCGAGCATAAACCTCTAATTGGACAAATTAAAAAAACATTAAGTCCAACAGCGGAAGTTTCAACCATATTGATATATACGATAGGATTTGTAATAGGAAAGCTTTGAAATATCAATACTATAATATATTATATACTTTAACATGTTGACGAGGCAGAACGTTAAAGCGACGAAACAAAATAAATCTAATCTCACAAACAACTATGCAGACAGAGTCTTTGCTTTTCTGACCACAATGTCACTCATCAAGATAATAAAAAAGGAAAGAACCGCTCTAAGGCTTATAAATTTCAAAAATTAACGCCTATTTAATACTCATACATAGACGTAAAGTTTTGAAATTTAGAAGCTATTATATTAAATATATATTGATATATTATATAACATAATACTGTAAGGGTATGAGGTACTCAACAAAAATCTAGTTTAATTATAAAGTTAGCGAAGCGAGAGAAGCTATCCTTAGCTTACTTCGAGTCTTCTATTTATTTTCCGATCTATTATCCTACAATAAAGGTGATATCAACAATGTTTTTTGCCGTCATTGGCACAAACTGAATATCCATAAAAATTCAGCTCGCCTTGAGGAATTACATAGTATAATAATACAATTACATAATATAATAATACATCATAGATAAAGCTGCATTAAGCCATTTTTCACAATAGAATGGCATTTTTGATCTGAAAACAATTCCCGAAATTTATACAGGAGGGTGGATGCGGTATGCTGGAACGTGGGCAATGGGTAATCGCGTACTGTGGTCAATATAATCCTCAATTTGCCATGACTTAGACTAGATTAGTAATTAGTTACACATGGATATTGGACAAATCAGGGAGCTTGAGTTATGGTCCTCGAATGCCGTGATATCAGAGCGATACCGTGTGAGTGCTACGATATCAGAGCGATACCGTGTGAGTGCTACGATATCAGAGCGATACCGTGTGAGTGCTACGATATCAGAGCGATACCGTGTGAGTGCTACGATGTAAGAGCGATACCGTGTGAGTGCTACGATATAAGAGCGATACCGTGTGAGTGCTACGACATAAGAGCGATACCGTGTGAGTGCTACGATATCAGAGCAATACCGTGTGAGTGCTACGATATAACAGCGATACCGTGTGAGTGCTACGATATAACAGCGATACCGTGTGAGTGCTACGACATTAGATAGACCGACACCGTGTGACTACTAACTCGAAATGCGAGTGCCAGGTAATCAGATGGAGCAATAGACATTGAGTTGGTTTCTTGGAATTTTATCGAGTATACAAGGAATCCGGTTCTATTTATACTCTCCGAAACTGTTTGAATTAAATCCTGCTTTGACGGTAAACCTTTAACCAGTACGAGCTAGGGTTTGCAGTATCAGGCTAACATTTCTTATCGGCGATAAGCGATAAGATTTTTGAAATTACAGGCGATAACGATAATTATCTTCAATTAAATTTATTCTGCATGCTCACAAAAATAGCAACATTACAATGTGTTATCAAATTATTTCCTAAGCTTCTTAAACTTCCTAAGCTCATTATTGCTTATATAATCTTAATTTACCAATCTCAGTAAAACAAGGGACAAGGTTAAGGCTGATGCAAATTCTCTAATATAATTGGGATTGGCTTGTTTTAAAGTAGATTCTCACGGGAAGAATAACTAACATAACATTATCACGACACGCAAAACAAGACTAATTTGCGAGAAGCTTTCGTCTAAACTTTGGCAATTTGCTTGTTAGCTTCTTGTATTGAAATAGAGTATCCGCTATCGGCCAAAATTGTTAGACTTAATTTAGCTTAATCTAGCGTGGGGTTAGAACTTTTAAATATTATATTGTCATGCGCCTACGGGTGACTACTGAATACGCTGAATACGCACTAAATAAATGCAATCAATTGCACTGGAAAGTAAGTTCAATGATTAGCTAAGAAAACCTGTTGAATAAGAGAAAATGTAACTTGGTTGAGATCATTCTTGGTGTAGAGAAATTAGTTTTCAATCATTTTCGAAAAGCGAACCATAGTCCGCTATATCTGCTAAATTTGGTAAACTGACACGACTCAATCTAATGCAGGGCGAGTCTCCGAACTCTCCAATAAGATATTGGTATGCGAATAATACACACTAGATTATTGCATTTAGCATTGGAGTGGCAAGTAAATTAACTGACTGAAATGTATTTGGATAATAGGTAAGGACTGGAATCACCAAACTGTGTGCTTGAAAATATATCGTTAATATAATCTTACTATATATAAAGCTGCTACACTAAAGAACCACTTTGAAGAGAAGTTCACTGCAAAACATACAGTTGAGCCTATTGACACTTTCTTTGATCAACCTAGTCCTCTCGCTGACCCTATTACTGCTATTGAAGTTGAGATAGCTGCTAAAGCTTTGAAGAATGGTAGAGCCACTGGGCCTGATGATATCCCAAGTGAATTGATTAAGTATGCAAACAGAAGTGTATTTCAGAAATATGCAGACTGTATAAATACCGCATTTGAAACAAACACCACCATAACATCTATTGGAAAAGGCAACATTACTCCACTCCAAAAGCCTAAGAAACCACTTGGTCCAGCAGCAAACATCAGACCTCTCACCCTCTCAAACTGCTCCAGAAAATTACTGTCAATGATTACCCTAAAACGTATCCAAGGCAAGCTAGATCAGTACACCGGTCCTACACAAAGTGCTTACAAGAGAGGTAGAAGTTGTGGCGATATAATTTGGTCTCAACGTATGCTAACCTCAGTGGTACTTAGAAAGCATTGGAGCTACCACAGAATGAGTATAGACATGTCAAGTGCCTTTGACACCATCAGCAGAGAAACAGTACTCAATGTTCTTGAAGATGCTGGCTGTACTAGTGATGAAATTAGGATGGTACGGCTCCTACTATCAAACACAGTGTTGAAAGTAAAAGTCAATAATACTGTATCAATTGAGTTCCAAAGCACAACTGGAGCATTTCAAGGAGATGCACTATCAGGTAATCTATTTACTGTTGTTGAAGCCGCTGCACTTATTCACCTCAGATCTGTACTCTCCCAAGTATCATCAACACCTTACCCAGTGAATCATCCAATCCCTAATCCTCCTATCTCAGAAGAATTCATGCCACTCGAAACAGGATACTCTGATGATATTGACTTTAATAACACTGAACTTGCTCCACTCAAAGAAATGCTTCCTATCGCTAAAGATATATTCCAGCAGTGGGACCTTCATATCAATTCTTCCAAGACTGAATTTGTCCATTTTTATTTAGCAGATCCTAAACCCACTGTTAAACGCAAGGTGATTGTTGGAAAAGTGTATAGAGGTGATGAAGAGTGGCGCTCTAACAAAACTTTAGGATCGTTGATGTGCACTGTTAAGGATATCAAGAATCGAATATTCCTTGGTAATGTTGCCTTTAGTAAATTTCAGAAAGTTTGGATGAAGAGCAAGATTTCAGTCCAAAGGAAGATCAAAATCTACGAGGCACAAGTAGTCTCTATTCTACTCTACAACTGCAACTCCTGGGCTGCACCACTAGCTTCGTTGAATGAACTTGATATTGCTCATCGCAAACACCTCCGAAGAATCCTCAACATCAGATGGCCTACTGGGGTTATTTCTAATGAGGCACTCTATGCTCGTTGTTATGTCACTCCCTTGTCTGTGAGAGTCTCTAAGTTTCGATGGAGAATGTTAGGACATATCTTAAGAGGACAGGAAGACTCACCAGCATACACCTCTATGTTATTTGCTATAAATTCTGATATTTTTATGGAAGGGAGACGGGGTAGACCATGTTTAAACTTATTAGATGTTATTAGAAAAGACTTGACTAGTAGAAATCTTGATATTAGACTTAAGAATTTGACTGATTTCGAAGACCTTAGATTTTTAGCTTTAGATAGGGAGGAGTGGAAGAAGTTAGAAGATGGTTGATGTTTTTGTTTTCTTTTTTATGCGTTTTGATATCTATAAGGTGCCTAGGATGCTCTTTTAAAGAGATATTTCGTACTTTGAAAGATTTACTACTATATATAAAGCGAGACGATATATATGGATGGATGGATCCGTGCCATTTTACTGACACCACGGCATCAACTTTAACGCGACTTTACGCAAAAACCGTAAAATATTATATAAAACTGAAACTTTTTTGGCTGGGTCAAATGCTTAAATGGCCTTCAAATCAGCATGAAAAAATAAAAAATTGCCCAAGGAATAAGAATTTTAATGCCCAAAATTTGGACCCCCAAGTGTTGTCAAAAACGCGAATTAAATAGGTAATAATAATTTTAGTCTCTCGAGTCATGATACCACTTTAGGGTTAGACGGGTTCCTGCTATTATCACTTCGAGATGGCCAGGCCTACTCTCATGCTGTCTATATGTGATGATTAACTCTGAAAAACTAGGGACAACTGGGGAATGATCCCAGAACCTCGAGATTTCGCGTCTCTTGCTCTACCAATTGAGCTACTGACCCTGATTACCAGAGCGAAATCACCACTCATATACAGCACAATTTCATGCTTTGTGTGGAATATCATTTATCAGTTATTTAGAATATATATTCGCATGTATCCACACTATATTTACATTACACGTTCAACGTGATATCATTATCAGTGCAGTGTGTACAACACCAACTACACCAATCAATTGCCAATCTGCGAAACATTTAATTATTATTATCACTTCGAGATGGCCAGGCCTACTCTCATGCTGTCTATATGTGATGATTAACTCTGAAAAACTAGGGACAACTGGGGAATGATCCCAGAACCTCGAGATTTCGCGTCTCTTATTGTACACACTGCACTGATAATGATATCACGTTGAACGTGTAATGTAAATATAGTGTGGATACATGCGAATATATATTCTAAATAACGGGTTCCTGCTAGTACATACTAATGCAAGAGTATGATACTATTACTTATAAAAATAAGTACGAACACGTTAAAAGACGTAAATATAACCGATTGGCAAGTAATGGGGTTAGCTGAACTTTCCGACCAACATCTAATGTTTTGTATTGTATTAACTTATGATCATAAGTTGTGTTTCTAAGTCCTAGTTTATGAAATTTTAAAACTATAATTTACAGCGTGACGTAGGTACTACTCCAAACAAATTATGAGAACTTATTGTTTCTTAACGACAATATTTCCAACAATTGAAGGATCGTTCCAAATTCTAAAAGAAATCTCTTTTAAATTTATTTATTTAGTTTAGTATACGTTTCATATGTGACCGGTTTAAACTACATTACAAAATACACACTACACACTACACACGTATGCGCAAATTGAAATAACTTTGCGAACTTTACCATAGCAACTAAAAGAGGCGCGTGAGCAATGTTTGCTAAGCAATACATACTTTCAGAGGGGCTTCAATCATCTTCAATCTAGATCTCTATGTAATAAGGTCATTGAATTCTATCAATACATGATGTGATTATTTATTCATTTATTTATTGACGAATTAACGACTGTAAATTTACGATGGATATTTAACTATAACTTTCTATTGGAGGGACTGTATCAGAATCCAGATGTAAAGTTACAATTAAAAAGGGGTTATAAAAATAGAAGATTTGCTGAATGAACTATAAAGTAGTGTCGTAGAGATCAAGCCTGGAGACCCGTCTTGTAACTTTGTAATTCTTATTGTAATTATTTAATAAAAATAAGGTTTACATCGTGATTTACAATGTAATCCTTATTTTTATTAAATTAATCGAACTTATTGAATTTTCTAAATTTGCAACTGCATCGATGAATTCATTTTTACGATTATTAACATTTGTAGACGTGATTTTACGTCCAATTTTTACGAATTTCATAATTTAACCATTTTGAAACGTGTAGTTTTGTGTGTGAACATTTTGATGTTAAATTCTATAATATGCTGTTGCAGGCTCGCCAAATACGGTAAACACCTTAAAGTACTTCACTTTTATGAGATTGAAAAACAGTTCTTGATAGAAACAGGGATTGGTTCGGACTTCGAAATAGACTTCGGATAAGAAACATGAAAACTTGTAAATTTCGGAAATATTTTGACAGGGTTGTTATAAGCTTGGCAAGACAAAATGTTTAGTGCAAAATTTATGATATTTGAAAAACAAAATTGTTTAAAAAAATTTCAAAATTCATACATTGTGTTCGAGCTGGAAAATTGTTAAAGGCAAGAAATGTCATTTTGGCGTTCAAAATAATATTGAGATTCTAGATCAATATTAGATTCAACCTATGTCGTTCTTTCTTTATTTGAAGCGAAAATATTGTTTAACAAGAAATGCGGCCGCTTTTCTTTTGTGGATGGCCGCTCAATTTCCCGATCCGGGATGAAGTATTTTATCATATTCCATACCACCTGGGGACCCCAGTCTTTGCGGTTTATAAGCATGCAGATATGGCGGAGTGACAGGCCGAGCGCCGCCCAGTTGATATAATTCTATATTGAATTTGAAAATCGTGTATATTTCTATGTAACCATATGTTTATTGTTTATGCAACCTGACACGGATTTGTGCAAAATAGTAATATTAACTCAAAATAATAATACAATGCTATCAATTTGTCCCTAGCGGGATGCATACATGGTGAAATTAACAATGTACTTGAACATTTCAGCACCGCGCGCCAACAATTGTTTAATTCAGATGATCGCGCAAAATAACTTTGCGCAGGCAGACACGTGGGCGATAACTAGACTGGGGGCGAGGGCATGTACGCACGCACGCACGCTCGCACGGTCGCAAGCTACCATATACAAAAAAAAACCTCGATCGCTAACCCTTGTCCTTGACTCTTTTGTGCCTTCGGCACTTAGAGTCATGGATCGGGAAAAAATTGGTTATTCTAAAATTTGTATATTAGTAAATGGCATAAAATGGCATACCATGGCATAAAATGGAGACTTTTTCTATAGAGAAAATGGAAAAACCTTCGGGTAATTGTCCATTTTATGCCATTTATGCTATTGGCCCCCCCCCCCCCCCCTACTGTTACTATGCAAATTATTATTTGACGAGGCTCAAAATAAACTGTTCAATATTGAACTAAGTGTGATGTTAATGGTTCATTCAGACTTCGCAACTACAATAGACACGAGTTATTAGCACTAAACTTAAGGAACACTTTGATATTTGTTAAATTTAGACTTTAGTGGCCGTAACACTGAATAACAGAGTTCAATAAAAACTAACAAAGCCTGTGATGTGCACCTAAACTGGTTCAAGGCCAAAGGCTCAGACTTCATGTCGTTAACTTCATGTCGTTTATCATTAATGACTTTAGACTTACAATAGCCACGAACCTGGCCTTGGTGGTTTGGGTCTAACGAACAGCACTCAAAGAAATTGTTTGAATATCAACGGAGTACGTGTTTAATGTATAAATTTCACAAAGACCCAGTGCTCGCCTCTATATTTTATAAGCATACTAAAAAGTCCGTTGTCATAGAGATTGCGATAATCACATTTTTTGGTACTCTGTTTTGACGGATTCTAAAAATATCTTTTACACAAACTTCAATAAATAAAAACCATAGACAAGGAGGTACGGAAACAAAACATTTGATCAAACATTACTTGTCCCCAGGGCCCAGTCGTGAAATCAAAAATTAATCGAGTTTATGACATAAACACAGAACATTTAAAACTTCATTAAACAGGATAGAAGATTTTTTAAAAAGCTATTTAGATCAATTATTACAACACAGCTTTTGAGGGTGTTTGTGGTATTTTCCCACAGAATTTACGGTTTGAACGTTTAAACAAAGGAGCTAAATATTTGTGTGTCCTCTTCTGACAGAGTCAAATTGAATGACTAAAGTTTATAGTTATCTTTTATAGGATATTATTTTGGGTATCTGTCTTACTTTCGAATGGTCGCTCTGACATCGGCATTGGGTTATTTATATTTCCATTTCTCAATGTATTATAAGCAGAATTAAAAAACCTTGTTTAATTTCATAGAATTTCAATTAAAATGCAATGTGACAGTATGTGCTACGAAGAGATTTATTGAAACGCTGGTTACACCTTTCTCTCAAGACAAGTTTCTCTTATCGAGTTATGGAGTTAACATTATTATTAGAATTATAATTTATCAAATTATGAGTATAAGTCATAAGATGTGTCTCGACCGTTTTTGTGATCTAATCCGACACGAGGAAATATGGACAGAACTGAACAATAACCACATTCGAAGACTGAAATATCTGAATGACCCCGCAACCCAGGAAACAACTACTCAGTTATCATCGCTCAATAATCGGTTTGGTATCGACGTTACATACTTTTTTTCTTTTTTTTTAAGCTGACTTAAGAAACCAGGGAATTAAAGTTACCGTCCTAACATTAAATCGATGAATTTATTTATATATCACTTTCTTTTTTTCTTTATTATTATTTTTTTTTCCTTCTTTCTTCAAAACATTCCAGTACATAGTGCAGAAAGTTGGAGATAAAGTCGTAGTACGTACATGTTGCATTGCACTGGATCGAGCTTGCAGAGTGTGGTTTCCTTCAGTCTGCGCCGTGCGCTTATATAAACATACGCGGCGCAGCTAGATCGACTGGATGAGATTGCACTGTGTACTGTGTGTAGTAGGCCCCGGTGTAATGTGATGTGTAATTATGTATGTACTACGGCTTTACAAATTTTGGAAGCATGTAGGGATATAGATCTGATACCAATCGTATATACTAAAAATACTCTGGCACAATTGTAACTGCAGTTTTACAGAACTCTAAATGCTTAATGAACACTCTTGCAGGTACCACCCGTATTCACACTCAGACCTGAGTTTAGTCATTTTCCGATACGAGATTGGGGACGGGTTCTAAAAACAAACAAACAAACAAACAAATTCATCAATTTTTTCCTCCAGTTATCCTAATTTCTCTCCAAATCATGTCTGAATGTTAGATTAATTTCTGCCGATTCGAGTTATTGGGTACACGTACCCCAGTTCAACAAACCCTTTAAACGTTAAACTCTGTCGAACTGGGAGACACTAACTGAACTCTCACCACGTAACCAGGAATTTATAGCTGGGCGCAAAACATAATGGGAAATATCTTTCTGATCCTCTTACTGGCTCTGACACATAAAGCCAATCGGTACCTCTTAAATCTGAACAATTTAAGCCCCCAAAAAATGAAAGGGCTGACAACAACCAAATAGAGTAACCAAATAAAGTAAAAACGTGCAATTACCTGTGCTTCTGAGTAGCGGGAATGGTGAGTGAGGAGAGGAATGCCTGTATGGCATGGGAGGACTGAGGGTCAGTAGAGAGATACACGATGTGATCCTCACTCAGACCACATAACCCTTCCTCTAGCGATCCTACCAGTCCCAGTTGGAACAGACCCTGAGTGGGTATCATGTTTGTAAAACTGGTATGGTCAGGTGATTGTGCTTAACTTTTGAGATGACCCAACTTCTATTAATTTTTAATACATTTGTTTTGAAAAGAAAATGTAAGTGAACGTTTGCTGTTCACCCTTTTATTTGCCTCCACTGTTGATAAGCTGTATAAGATTGAGATGGCGAGATTGTTTAATTTACCTGCAATAAGAGGGACCCCGCCAGGGTTGCCTCAAACCTGTCCCTTCTCGGCTTTCCACTTAGAGTGGGTTTCTTATACGACTCCAGTTTACCCAACAAAACATCGTGGGTGGTCAACGACATGATGCATCTGAGGAGATCAAAGGTTAATTCTCGATTTATAAAAGTCGGGTGTCACAACCATAACTATTAACTCAAGCTCAATTTGTGAGAATTTCAGTTGTCGTAATATCAAGCTCCAATTGATGTGATTTCGGCGTGAGCCGAGAGCGGAAGAAACGTTTGACGGGGGGGGGGGGGGGGGGGGGGGGGGGGGGGGTACCGACGGACATTAATGGCAGTATTTTAAAATTTTGCTCAGACTGCCATTGCCATTAATGCCCATTAATGCACATTAATGTCCGTTGGTACTCCCCCCCCCCCCCCCCCCCCCCCCCCCCGTTTGACAGCAATCAGGTTTAAATGGATGAATTATTGAGAATGCAGAAAGCATGATGTGATCTGAGCTAGAAAACGCTGTTAGTGTCAGAAAATGTTGACATTTTAATAACTCTTGATGCATCGCAATATTTATAGTTTAAATCAAGAGGTAGCTCTACTGAGGTAATGTAACGGGACTGGTTGATTAAGTATGATAGCCGAGCGATTGCACCGAATAGCATTACGTAATGGAGTTGGTCGGTAATGCAATGGGGATTCTGATCGTTGTGATTATCTAAAATGGTCATAAAATAACACAAAAGAGGGGATCATCGCCATTGTAGCCATCCAGTTTCTAGGATTTCCGAAATAAAAGGTAAAAGAGGTGTTTCGCCGTTTATGTCATTTTCTTCGTTCTCGACATCCACCAATGGTTGAAATAGCGACCAAAATTCAGCGAACAGTGTAAAATATAGTCTTCATTTTCGTCATCCACTGAAGGAAAAAAAGGCGAGGACTTTTGGAAAATTTCGAAGTCAATTATAGCAAAATTACGGACACCCAAAATATTTCAAATAAATGACATTCCTTAATTCCTCCTCCACAGATGATAGGATTATATAAACCTGAAAAAAAGATGAAGCTGATCGTCAGGAATGTGGAATGCCTCCTGTAGAACTTTAATGATGTCAAAGTTGGAGGTAAGACCGTGGTGGTGACAACACTTGGTAACGCTGATGACGACTCCTGGAAATGTTAGGTTTAGCTCTTGAAATTTAAATGTTAATAATTGTTGAAATGCAGCCTGAATGCCATGAAAAAGTAAAACTAGGAGAACCTTTAATTTTAGTATCTACTTTCGAAAATTCTGATATCATTTCTTTAAAGTCAAATGTAGACAAAAGATCAAAAAAGAACCTGTGATGGACTCCGCAAGCAAATCCTCAAAAATAGGCACAATCTTAGAGCACATATCCTGAGCCAGGGCGCGAGAGGGTACATGTTCAAGCAGTGTCTGTATAGTGTAGTTAGCTGTAGAATGGAGGGATAAGGGAACTACTATATCCTTGTACTGCTGATTGTACAGATTCTCCAGTTCCTCTTTACTGCAGATCTGGGATGTCAAGTTATTACTGGAGGTTGTGGTTTGTTACATACGATTTTACATCTTTTATTAATGAACCCCCTGTGAAAGTCACTATTTTGCTGTCGGCGGAACTTTGTGGTGTCGGGGAAATAGTGACAGGTTGTTGTAAAGTCCATGTTTGGTCAGAACGCCCTGATGAAGGCAAATTTAAACCAAGTTCTTGAATTAACACACTGCCGAAAGTTATTAAACGAAGCATAATTATCCAAATAAACAATCATACAAGCATTAGAAACCTGTTCACAAGAACATTACCTTGATAAAAGATTGGACTACATAGCTAGCCTTGCTATCCAGTAAAACAGCAGGCAAGGACCCAAACTGCTCGAACCCCTGGTAGTCCGTTACTTTCTTATCAAATGAGGAGGAGATAACAGATTTGAGGTTTGGTAGAGACTTATTGTTCGTCCGATGTAACAGTATCAGGAGCACCTGAGATGATGTGTTCAGCTGTTAAAATAGTGCGTATTATATCTGAGCAAGAATTATAGATCACGAGATCCCCAAACAAAACATGACCGTTTGGCCACTGTATGTAGCTATTTATCAAGGGATGTTTACCGACAGCAGGGGAGCGCCTTTTTCACTCCACATCAAGTCCCCTACATCAATTTTAACGAGTCGCTTCGTAAACTTGTGTAAGATCTTCTTCAGTGACGGATGAGTGTTGGATGTCTCGTAGAAACTGTTTTTACCAATATCCCACCGTTTTCTCTTCCTCTTGTCCTCCTCTACTCGTACTCCTACTAACACCTACGTGAAGATAGGGGTTTTTAGACTGTCATGTTTAGACCGTACCGGGTAGACATGCAATGTTTTGGAGTTTATTCAACTGTAGCTTTGGTAAACCGTGCTCAAAATGATTTTCTTACAAGGCTGGCTGCGAGATTATTAAACGGATAAAATATGGTATTTTGTTAATAAATAATGGACTCAGCTATTTTAAAAGAAAAGATAATCTAACCTGCAGAGCTATTCTTAGAAGATAAGAGCCGTGGACACTGGAGATAAGGTTGGCAACATCCAGACACAACTTTCTGAACAGATTCTCTGCGAGTTCAACCACTTCATGCGTCTCTGAAAAAAGTATATTGCTGTACATTGAACAAATATTAAATTAAAATAAATGGATTGCCCTTCATTATACAAAATAACAAATGACAGTTGAACTGGTTCTTAGTTCTAACCTTTAGTATAAATTTCCCTGACGAGCTTCATGATGAACAGCTCTAGAACGTGCGAAGCAAAGTTATGACACGCTATTTCCACAATATGAGGGAGAAGAAGAGCTCCGACCTCGAGGAGAGTGCCGCTCGAGCAGTTTACCAGCAGTCTTTCTACAACTCTACAAAATGTATACATGTCATTTGTTGCAATAACAAACAAATCTCCCTATATCACAGCAGTTCCAGATCACCAATCCGGGAAATACGTATCCGGAAAAAATTAAACCCTTCCCACTTTGGCCGGCTAAATTCTAGATTTTGGTACAAGCCAGATAGACCATATTGGGGGGGGGGGGGGTGTCACGTCCGTCTATGTCCGCCTATGTCCTGTCCTTTTTGGATTCTATGAGACAACGGACGTGTTTTTTGGGACATTGGCGGACACGGACGGACATTGGCGGACTCGGACGGACATTGGCGGACTCGGACGGACATTTGCGGACCCGGACGGACATTGGCGGACTCGGACGGACATTGGTGGACATTAGCGGACATTGGTGGACATTAGCGGACAAACATTTTGAGAATTTTTCGCAACTTCTATGTATTATAATTTTGTACAAAACAAACGACTTAGTAATCACACTAAAGCTATTAATAGCTTTAACTTATTATATCAAATTATATAGGGACCCAGGAAAAGGCCCCAGGAGGAGGAGGAGGAGGAGGAGGACTGGGGAGGAGGAGGACTGTTGAGGACTGATGAGGAGGACTGAGGACGAGGAGTAGGAGTAGGAGGAGGACTGAGGTGGGGAGGAGGAAGAGGACTGGGTAGGATCAGGAAGACCCAGGAGGAGGACCCAGGAGGATGACCCAGGAGGAGGAGGAGGAGGACTGAGGAGGATGACTCAGGAGGAGGAGGAATCAGGAGGAGGACTGAGGAGGACTGAGAAGGAGGAGGACTGAAGAGTACTGAAGAGTACTGAGGAGGATGGCTGAGGAGGATGACTGAGGAGAATGGCTGAGGAGGATGACTGAGGAGGATGACTGAGGAGGATGACTGAGAGGGAGGAGGAGGATCAGGAAGACCCAGGAGGAGGAGGAGGAGGAGGACCCAGAAGGAGGACCTAGGAGGAGGAGGAGGAGAACTGAGGAGGATGACTCAGGAGGAGGAGGACTCAGGAGGAGGACTGAGAAGGAGGAGGACTGAGGAGGATGGGTGAGGAGGATGGCTGAGGAGGATGACTGAGAGGGAAGAGGAGGAGGAAGAGGAGGAAGAGGACTGAGGAGGAGGAGGAGGAGAAGGAGGACCCAGGAGGAGGACCCAGGAGGAGGAGGAGGACTGGGGAGGAGGAGGACTGTTGAGGACGGAGGAGGAGTAGGAGGAGGACTGAGGAGGGGAGGAGGAAGAGGACTGGGGAGGATCAGGAAGACCCAGGAGGAGGACCCAGGAGGAGGAGGAGGAGGAGGACCCAGGAGGAGGAGGAGGACTGAGGAGGAGGACTGACGATGACTGAGAAGGAGGAGGACTGAGGAGTACTGAGGAGGATGGCTGAGGAGGATGGCTGAGGAGGATGACTGAGAGGGAGGAGGAGGAGGACTCAGGAGGAGGACTCAGGAGGAAGAGGAGGAGGAGGACTCAGGAGGAGGACTGAATAGGAGGAGGAGAAGGAGGGGGACTGGGAGAGGACTGAGGAGGAGGAGGACTGATGAGAAGGATGAGAAGGAGGACTGAGGAGGAGGACTGAGGACCGAGGAGGAAGAGGAAGAAGAAGAGGAGGAGGACACAGGAGGAGGAGGAGGAGGAGGAGGACTGAGGAGGATGACTGAGGAGGAGGAGGAGGAGGAGAACTGAATAGGAGGAGGAGGGGGACTGGGGGAGGACTGAGGAGGAGGACTGAGGAGGACTGAGGACTGAGGAGGAAGAGGAGGAGGATGAAGAGGAGGAAGAGGACCCAGGAGGAGGACCCAGGAGGAGGACCAGGAGGAGGAGGAGGACTGGGGAGGAGGAGGACTGTTGAGGACTGATGAGGAGGACTGAGGACGAGGAGGAGGAGTAGGAGGAGGACTGAGGAGGGGAGGAGGAAGAGGACTGAGGAAGATCAGGAAGACCCAGGAGGAGGAGGAGGAAGAGTAGGAGGAGGAAGCATCTAAATGGTTATTTCCATTTTTGTCCGTTTTTGTCCATTTTTGTCCGTCTTTGTCCGCTCTATTTTTTGTCCGTTTTGAAAATATAGGGTACCGAACGGACAAAAAACATGATCCCCTATAACAGCAAAAATTGAACATTTTATTTAGCAATTTAGGTGTCCATTAATGTCCGCTAATGTCCGTATATGTCCGCTATGTCCGTCTATGTCCGTCTATGTCCGCCTATGTCCGTCTATGTCCGCCTATGTCCGCCTATGTCCGCCTATGTCCGCCTATGTCCTGTCCTTTTTGGATTCTATGAGACAAGCGGACATAGACGGACGTGACACCCCCCCCCCCCCCCCCCCCCCCCCCCCCCCCCCCCCCCCCCCCCCCCCCATTTAAAGCCAAATAACAATAAGGGTCAAGGTAAACAATTAAAATTAGGAATTCTACCTGCTACAGTCCCAGTGGTACAGTATTTTAGTTATCCCATCGCTCTGAATCTGCTCTAGCAACTTCTCCTCCAGCAGCCCTCGTTCCATGTCGTTATCAAACTCTTCTCGCTCAAGAACCTGAAAAACGGTTGAAGTCAATTTTAAGTTGAAATTATTTATTGTTTAGAAGTAGGGAGGTATTTTCATCTCGATACAAATTATCGAACTTTTTTAATCTGCGTACTAATATAAGTATTTTCAGAGCCTTTTAGATGATATATAGCACACGAATGATTAATTTAACCATCCCATCAACCAGTTCTGATATTAGAATTGTAATAATTAGAAATAATTGGCGGCAGTATAAGGAACCTTCTCGATGTTAATGTAATAGTCGAGGATTGATTTAGGGAGTTCACCAGTGTTGTCCCTGTCTCCACTACCCGATATTACTGGCACAACATCTGTCTCCATAACAGCGGCGCTTGAAAACGTTTCCATGTCCTCGTTGTATGGCGCCATTACTACGAGTAATTATCAGTTATAATATTTTGAATCAGTGAAAACACATCAACTTAACCCCAATGTACTGCACTAATATCAGTTGAAATTTTGAAAAATCTCGAGGAACTTGCAACAGTAAAGGAAAGAGATAAACAAGTACAGTTAACAAACTATTTATCAAACTTCAAATAACTTAATTGTCCACAAACAAGATCTTATTTAAGCCATTTCGCCTGGGTCACAACAGCATATATATATGGCATTGCTATCAAAGAGGGTCGAAGGTAGCTTCATCTCGAAAAGATCGTCGGAAATTGTTGCTTTTTACATTCCACTTCACGACGAAGTGCTTTTCTGGTAGCCTACTTATTTTGGTTCGTCATCCAATCGTCGATAACCTTTAATCTGATTTGGTTTTCAAGTTCCTGCTCCTTATTTTTCTGCACTGCTTCCCTCTTCCGCTGAACGTACTCATTCTTACATGAGTCTCGCAGTTCTTCGTCATAAAACGCCCATTGCATGCACATCTTGAAGCCCTGAAACAAGTTTATTTTTAAAATGTGTTCAATCCCAATAATGCAAAACTAGTGAGATGGGCAACGATTAGGACTTCAGAGCTGGTCAACTAAAATTTCCAAGAAGTAAAATCAAAACCTTATTTTCTTCAGTACACTTCCAAAGTCCAGACACAATTCCGTGTTCTTGCTGACATTTCGACATTTCCGCGAAATGGTTGAAGCAGTATTTTACCTCCTCCTTAGCTTTTTCTCTGATCATATCGTTGATAAGAATGTCTCGCTCTGCTCTGAGTAGCAACTGAAACAATGAAACATTACATTTCTAGCAAAGATAATAAGAAAGCTACTATTGGGATACATCTCAAGACGATAAAATATCTATTAAAATTGCAATCAGAATAAACTCTACTGGACTGTCCTGCATCAAAGAAATGTCTTAATGATGGTGAATGTGACACAAGGTGTTTAATAACCGGCTGATGGTGCACTAAGCTAAGGGCTATTGAGACTTGAGAGTCACTAATCTACGTGCGTACCCGCCATCGATCGGCTTTGGCCATGCGGTCGGTGAAAGGTAGAAAGAGTAAGCGCGCAAAATTTACATAGTGCGCGTTTGTAGAAACACTACATAGCTGTGTTAACATCAAAAAATGATAATGCGTCCCGCTTCAAAATGTCAATTCGACATATTCGGGGACAGATAATGGCCATCTTTTTTGTTAAAAGCTACTGATCAGTTTTTATAGAACAGGTTGATAACGAATCAGAAGCTATGTAAGGACACTTACCATTTTAGAAGGCTTGGGAATGTTATCTTGATCGAATTTGCTCTGTTCTGCAGGCTTTTCTTGTGAGGAACTCGACTCGGCCATTCTGAATCGACGATATTTAGACTGAATTTGTGCCAAGGGAGACAGTGTACAACCCAACAATCTTTACTGCAGTTATATTATGAAGAATTACTGAAGAATTTTAGTGGCAAGAACCAGATTGCATTTGGTAGTCAGCAAATAGAAACGGGTTAAAGCTCAGTATTGTAATAAATTAGATAAAAACATGTCATTGAATCTACAGTGAACACAGTGATTCCAGAAATATTTCAGTCTTAAATAAGAAACACAAATAAAAACGGCGATGTTATCAGGCCACCGTCAATTAAATGCCATGTGATGTAAAAACTGATCAAGGAAATAAATTTCTAAACGGTAAAACCAATACACAGATCCCACTAAAATAAAACCAGCTCTGGTTTGTCATGACATCGTACTTTCTGCTCTGACATATTCACCAACATCAGCTTGGTGAAACACTACTATCGTGTTTGGATCTGTAGTTTTACAATCATTTGTAGATCGGGCTGCTACTCCAAACCCAAGAGGTAAGTCGGACATATTGTAGACGACCACTCCGTCGTATTTGTCGGTCCCAGCTGATATCCTTCCCAAACCTGCCTTTGTAACGTTGTTACCGTACAGGAACTGCTGTTCTGCACCAGGTTTTAGCCAGACTTTCTGTTTTGCGTATGATGATAGGAAGTCAAGGGCTGTGATGTGCAACTTAAATTTACCTCCTTTTGAAAACTTGCCAAACATTGTTCCGAGTGAAATGAGCTCTTTTCTACCGACATTTGTTGCTTTTTTCATGATGGTCTCGCTGACATAATACACCTTGTCTTTGTGGTATCTGAAGACATAGTTCCCGTCACTTCTCTCCAATAATAACTTCATGTTGTCTCCGATGTATTTGGCAAGTTTCTCGAACAGGCCTTTAGCTTCTTCTTCGGTCAGAGGTCTCATCTTGCTACAGGGATAGAAGTGGATTTAGTAACAAAATATATTATCGTTATAAAATAAAGATGGATTTGGCAGATTAATTCAGGGATTGATAACGGTAATTTTGATAAAAGGGATATCAATTTGTACGATGTTCGGAGAATAACACAGCGGAGATATGTATGTTTAAATAGGAAAATGAGTTTATTATATAAACTTTAATACATATTAATATCTGATAACATCATGACAATAATAATAATACAAATTAATAATCGAAAAAACATTAGTTAAACACGTTATTGTCATCGGTAAAACCTTCGTATGAAAACCTTCGTAAATGGGCACAATTATACTTGTTATAATATCTACTCAGTCTGAACTCTTTCACAACCTCAAATATAACATAAGTTTACACAACACTTTTAAAAAGCCAAACAAAAATAAGTTTACAAAATATAAATAATTCAAAGAAATAACTACGAATTCTCAGAATCATCTTTACTCGAAGAAGCAGCACCACGTTTCAGATCAAACACCTTCCGTCGAACCAGAGCTTTATACTCCTTATTAATCTTCATATCATTACCCACATATATCACCTTCTCCCACTCCTTCGCCTGATCACTATCCAACTTATCAACCCCTGATTTACACATATTTGATTTAAACAAATCTACCGCTCGCTTCCTGATATCATCATTAGCTCCGGTACTCTGCAGAAGGAGTGAAAACTGTTTTTTCTGATCTTTGTTCACAACCGGAGCTACAGGCATATCTTGTATCATTACTTTCCATTGATCAACCAAAGATTTGGAAGAAGCAGCAATTGTTTGGTTTGTGTGTTTACGAAGTGGTCCAATAGCTCGGCCTATCCCAGTCTCCGTTAAAATGAGAACTGGTAGACTCCTCCCAGACTCAAGCTCCTTTAAGCAGTCTATAATCTGTTTTTCTGTGGAATGTTTGCATGATAGTCTCTCTTTTAACACGAGTACTCGCTTTACATCGATCACTCCTTTGAGGGATTGCAATGTGGCTTGTTTCAGTCGGGGCCGCTTTGCTCGGCGCTGTGTCTCTACTTCGTCACGTGATAATCGTTTGACATATTTGTCCATACTAGAATACAATTGTTATGTATACTTTTAACACAATTGAATATATTATATCACACATCTTCAGTCTCGTAATGCAATATGGCGACTGGGCTTGAACTAGCTTTGAAGGGGGTTTCAGTAATGTACTCACAATACACTATAGTGTTTCATTCAAATTTGGACGTGGATGAAAATTTTTCTTATCATATATTCACCGTTCAATGTAACTACTATTATATACTGCATAAAACTCCCTTCTGTAATTTTAGATTAAATGACATACTACAAAAGTTTTGTACACAGACTATGAAAGAACCATTTATGGCTGAACTTTAGGTTTTGCTACCATCGTACTGGAGAGTACTGAGACAACTCCAATGGCATTTATTGAAATTATTTTCATCAGAACCATATTCATAAACAAAGGAAAAAGATCAATTTAGACTGAAGATAAAGCAAATAACTATTTTTGATATAATGACATTTATTTGAAACTGTCAATTGTCAAAAGACGGTCCCGAGCATTCTATTAAAATACAGAGAAAGTTTTAAACATCACAATTTTGTAGAATTTAACTCAGACAGCAAAAAATACCAGCATATTAATTAAACCCTCTATCTCCCATAAGCTACTAAACGAAATAACATAACACTCCCCAAAGCAATGAAATCTAAACTAGTCCATAAAGGAAGTCTTTAGTTGATGTAAACAAGTTGTGGACTGTTGCAAATCTACTGGCAAGGAGTTGCACGTGTTCGTACAATTTCAAACATCTTCTGACAGTGAGCAATTGTTGGGGCAAGATCCTTCGTTGCTGCCTTCTTATTTGTCTGAAAAAAGGGTTTAAAGTTAATCCAGCGGTACAAAAATCATATTAATGTTCAATGTTCATTATTTAGACTCATGATTAAAATAATATAAATATTATATACGTTAATTTAAGATTTTGCTGCCTATCTAAGGCTATAATCACTTAAAAACAAATCTCCATTATTTTCAGGTAAAAAGTAAAACTGTAAAACTAAACTCAATATACCACTAAATCACTGACCACCAGCAGATACTGGGATTTATCCCCGAGCTCGTCCCAACAAACTCTGCTGGCACTCTTAGCACTCTTAACCACCGGGGCTCCACCCCTCATAAACCCTTCTATCATATCCATCATGATTTTACTGATCTGCCTTTTAGGGAGAGATTGACATGTAACAATATAACTGTTGATCTATGAAATATTAAGTTGTTGCGCAAGCTTGCGAGCTAACCATTGTAAGTTTTTAGCATCAAATGTAATCTATATAAAGATATAATAAGACATTTTTGGCTACCTGTCCTTGGTGCCCCACACTTTGCCATAATTCTGGTTATAGAAGGGAGAGTTCTCACTGAGCGGCGATCCAAACAAGTAGGCCAGGTCCTCACCGTGTGTAACTCCCATCCACGTGCTGTTATCATCTTTACGGCTAAAAGAGGACGGAATGATCACAATATTTCCCTGTCAAAGTAACTGAGAATTGAGTTTTGCTGTTCCCATAAAGTAGTACTGTGAGCTAGTATTAGAACTCTTGAAATGGTTAAACGGTATCACCTTTACATAGCTTAAGAAGATGTGCTTACTCACTTGTTGGACATGTAGTCGAAGACATACTGGTAAACGGAGTCACTGTTCTTGGAGAACAGATCAGCGGTAATGATTTGGGGGCAGAAGAGGAGCCAATCTCCCAGTAATGTAGCTAGTTGAGTCTTTAGATCAGTGTCCGTTCTATTTGTGTAGAACTGATGGTACGATATTTTAGCGTGGTTTGCCCAGTAAGATGATAAATACATTACTTTTATGTGAATTATCTAAGTTTCTCCAGCTACAATCTACGTTACTCCTCCACCAAATATCAAGTCTACAAATTATCAGGACGACGAAAAATGTACCTCTAACAGTTCATCTCCGTTGTCGTTCATGCAGGGTATTGTGAAGTTTTTAATGAGAGGGTGATTAATGCTCAACTCTCTGATCTGTTCTTTGTTATTTAGTTTATCCTGCAATCAATATTATATCTGAAGTTACGGTAATGATGTTGTATTCTTCAGTCTTCATAATGTTCATATTATTCTATTGAAAATTGCCGGAAATAAGTTGGTCCGAAATTTCAAGCTCAGTATAATTGTATTGTCGCCAAGCATGAAAATCTGAAATTTATGTGCAACAGTAATTATTAATTGGTTCAGGGTTTCCTGGTCCGGGGTTCAATATTTCACTGTAGTCACGTACTGTACTGTCTGTACCCAAAACTAACAGACATGTTTCATTTAAACTTACAGTATTAGTGAAAAGTGGAACTCCTTTAGTCATCCCAAAAGCCAGTGCCATTATAGATCCCTCGTCTTGGCAAACTCCACTGAGTAACGGTCCTGTGATGACGAAGGGTTGCAGTCACATACTGTCTTTATATCAATAATAATTATTCATCCAGCAATTATATTTTACATAAGATCTAGTGGAGGGTAGGCAAATTGAATTTAATCTGTTTATATTGCGATTCTAGCGAATTCGTCGATCAGTTTAGTCTGTAAATTATCTGGAGTTAAAAAGAGTTTGATAAAATAATATAAACGTACTGCTGGTATAATTAGCAGTTTCAATAGTAAGAAGAGGAGTCTCTGTAACAAGCTGATTATCAATAATGGGGGGCCACGTATCAATAGGGAACTCCATCATAGTTGCATACATTGCACCTGAAATAATAAGTTATATCATTAATCGGTAGAACTTGGACGAGACAAATTATGGAGTGAGACGCTACAGTTTCCAGAAAATGTTGTGGAACATTTTTGGTGCCAAAACAATTAGACGTGTATATGTATTTGGGCTTCATGTGGAGGAGTTCAGTTTTTGTGATTCACTCTAAATCAAATCAGCAGACGAATGTGGGATGATCTTCGCTCTTAGAAGCCCTAGATTCGCAATAACTTCACTCATAGCAGTCACAAGAATAATAAGCTCTAAACAAATTTTATAAGATGTTATGAAAAGTATATTATTGCCCACATAAAGGGGACGGCGGATAATAAGTCAATTATTTGCTATTTTGATTTAATAATAATTGTAAGTCTTTATTTCTGTTGAATGGTAGAAAAGATAAAAACCAAGAATTGAAGATTCGTTGGCACTCCGCAAGCAGTTGAGTATATCTGATGCACTAGAACAACCAGTCTGGTTTTTTAGGATCTCCCACTTCCCTTGTTGCTCGTCCATCCTGAAGGATAAAGAGAGCTTTAACGCGATACTATCAAGATATATTTCAAAGATACAATTATTGTGATTACCACAAATAGAGGGAAATCAACAAAAATTATAAGAAATGTCCAAACCTGGTTTTAGTGAAGGCCCATGGAGCGATCATGGTGCCCGATATGGAAATAGAGGAGGAGAAAAGACCGTCAGTGAGAGGAGATGTATGAAGATAGGTTACAATTGCTCCTCCCGCTGATTCTCCCATGATTGTTACCTGTTAATGTGATTCTAATAATTTCTAAACTCTAAAAGCTTATTTCAATGATAGAAAAATCCTCATTTCAACTTTGTAAGATAAAATTAACTTCAAAATCTGAACTGTTCATAAACTAGTTGCTTAAATAAAGAGAATAAACTCACCCTGTTCTTGTCTCCACTAAATACTTCAATATGATTCTGGACCCACTCCAATGCCATTTTAACATCCCACAACCCCAGATTAGCAACGATACCATCGTAAGCATTCAAAAAGCCAAGAAGCTGCAGTCTATAGTTGACTGACACCAGCACTATATCAGCATATTCAACCAGTCCTGATCCGTCTCTACTGATACCATCTCCATTACTAAAACTACCACCGTGGATATAAAACAAAACCGGCTTTTTCAGGCCTTTGTTTATCCAATCATGCTTGGTTAAAACGTTAAGATAAAGACAGTCTTCTGAGAAAGAGAGCTGAGGACTGAGGTAGTCCGGTGAGGGAGGGTAAATGTTTTGTAGGCAGGAGGAAGGGAGGATGGTCGCGTCTATCTGCTCCCCTGAAATAGTGGCAGCACTGTTTATTTTTTAACGTAATATCTAACTCAAAACAGACGACTAAACTTAATAGACGGAACCAGCGAGAATTTATAATTTTGAGTCTAGATAGATGTAATATTTCTCGCCGCGATCTTTATCTCATTACTAACCTTTACTATAAGTTCGTTTGACGGGGCGAGAGAATCTGAGCTGTCCAGTGGGGCTCTCTGCGTACGGTACACCAGTGAACCCAGCTATAAAGGAGTCTCCAGTACGTACTCTCCGGCCAGTTACCACTGCACCATCCACATCTACTGTCACGAACTTCTCTGTTCTCTCACGCCTAAAAGTCAGCAGATTTATTAGCTGCATTTGGTCGAAATAAAAGATAAGCCACAGTTTCAAGTTGGCTTCAGACTAACTGTGAAATCAATTGACAAATCAATTTTATCACATATGTGCACATTCAGCATTAACTTGATGGACGTTTGGGAAATTGGTCACGTTTTCGGTAGCATGACTTGGCAACGAGTAGCAACGATAAAGGGTAAATAATGGGTTCATTCTGGCAGCGACATTGATATGGTTCTTGGACATATATTTACTTTTAACATCCATGCTTAATTAGAATGCTGACATTATTAGAATATTATTTTAATTAACATTTATGACAGCTCCTATATCACGCACCAGATGTACGCGATGAGAGTCAAAAGGAAGAGTGATCGCCAGGGTCTTAGAATTGTTAAGATAGAATCTAGGAAACTTATGCTGGAAACTTTTACACCGTACACATTCTAAATAGTAAGTTGATGAAGTCGTTTCTTCAACTGAACTTTTGTTATGTCTATATTTCATCTTTTGCAAGTTTACTGTATCTTTATTATATCTTTTAGAATCGTAAGGGATCAAGATTGTCAAGTCTCATGTTTAGAAATAGATTGATGTATTTGAATGGGAATCAATTGAATTAAGTGTGGATTAAAAGGAATAAATGGGGAATTTTGCGTTCATATTTGGTCGTTTATAATATGTATTAGCCAAAAAAAATAAGCTAGAGCCCAAAAATCCCAATTCAATCTTCCGTTAAAATTACCAAAACAAAAGGAGCTGTGGCTCAAACAAAATACAAACCGTTTCTTGGTGGCGCTAAAGGGCTGCAGGACTAGCAGCAGAAGGAAACAAGCTACACTCCGCATGTCTGTAAAAGTGAACTAAACAGGTGTGCAGGTTGTTGCTGAAGAAGAAACAAACTTCTCTCACATCTAACCACTCCCACTCTTTGACCGTCTGACTCCTGGCATTTTATTGCGTGCGTTTTTCGAACCTTAGCGATGTTTTGTTAGCGCGAAATTTGATCACAGCATGGGAGTTGTTGTAAACTTCGGTGTCCGTCAAAAGGACAGGTCTGTAAGATAAAGGGCCGAGCTGTATTAAGGGCATAAAGCTAAAGAGTGGCCTCGAGGAGAAGAATGTTCCAGAGAGCAGGTGTTAAGGCATTGTTTGGAAGAATATTGTTCGTTAAAGGATCGTTGTTATTTAAGTATTAATTACAGAGTTATTGCAGTATTTAATCGTTTATTTTAATAGACGGTGTGCACAGGTTTAATAAAATATGTCAAGATAAAGCACTAAAAAAGAGTCTTACGACGATGGGGAACGGAATAAGATGACAGCTGCGAAGGTCTGGTTTAAAAATGGCGTACACCAAAGAAGAACAGATTTGAAGGGAGGATTAAGATCTAAAACGAGACGGAAATGTCAGTGGTACCGACAGGAACGTGACGTAACCCGTCGCATTCCACGGCAAAATACCTTAAAAATCCGGAGAAAATCCATACAAACCCCGACAACGGCGCGAAATTAGAATCTTCTCGAGAAGTAGTGAGTCCTCAGTTTTTTAACGAAAGTACAACTTTAGACGTGAAATTGACAGCAAACAATTTGCCATTTAGGAGTCACTGATCCGTGACAGAGGAATCATTACAATATTATTAACTGACTGGAGTCCGGGAGACGAGGGAAAAATATCTAAATCATGACCATGAGAAAAAGAAATAGACAATCAATATCAAAAATAAATTCATTGCCTTTAACTTTTATATTAAATACTAAGTATTCAAAACCTCTGAGTGAAGGTTAACCCTTAAATGTTACTGCAGTAATAAAAAGTGATTCTGAAGCAGCATGGCCTTTTATGGGACATCTTCAATGCATCATAATATCATACATTGACAAATGAATTCAAATATCTAGAACACGCTTTGACAAAAAAACTGCACCCGGAAAGATATATCTGAGCCATTCAACCGATATAGGGGGTCACCTCGTACAATGGGAGCTGGAGGGGGGGGCGCTCCTTCATGAGATTGCTTTAATCCGATCCTTACGAAATTCGTAGTATAATCGAGTAACTACATTGATACGTCTAGGCTCATCTGATAAGATGGTCAAAGACTGGCTTTGACCAAGATGAGTTTCACAGAGTCTATAAAATGGACACAAAAAGATATCATAAATTCTATAAAAAAAACAAAGATAAAATGGGCATACGACAATCAACTACTATGATTATTTTGCAAAACATTGTTGATCAAAGTGAAAACAAAATTAAATAAAAGTCGAAAATACATCGATAATTCTTAAGATATGGCCATTCCGAATTCCGATCATCCTGTACTTTTGGTTCATAAGATTCCACTACTGGGGGGCCATAGTGCTATCCAGCATAACATTTGACCAGCAACAGGAACAAGTCATCATCCAACGTAATTCAGTAACTCCTTCACTTAACTAACACCCTATTGTTGATCTTTTGTTGATCTCTCTGGTGAGTGAAGCTCTCAAACATACAAGTTTCGTTTTCCCAAAAGTGCACAGCAGGACAATAAACATAGAAGCCTTGGCTGTATTTCCAGTAGCGAAATACCGATAAACTTCCGTATTAACAGTCAGTATGCTGGCAACACAACTGACTGTGTCATTCACTTTTCAGGCACCAACAATGCGATATAGTTTTAATGTTAAGATTCTCAGCAGGACCACAAAAGTACAACCATCTGATTTGAGATAAATAAAAAAAGTTTAAATTCCGTGAACAGTAAAACGCGGGACAGCTATTAATACTATTACCGAAAACTCGAGCACATTAAATTATTTTTCAGTATTGACAGGATAAGGCTTGCCTTTGATTGACGATGCCGATCCTTTCCGTATAGATCTTTGAAGCGAGGGTTTGTAACATGCAGTTCAGACCAGGCAGATTAACTTATTAAAATCAGAGCTTGTCTTGGTAAAAGCATCGTAGTTATTATTTGATGTACCAATTTTAACCCGGATAGAATATTGGTTTTAATGAACAAATTGGACAAAAGCTAGTTTCAGAACTGATAATCTGTCTCAAGGGTGCAAGACATTTTATCCTTTAACATTTCATCTGACCGCGCTAATTACTTATTACCACCCGGTTTTAAACCTCAAACGTAACCTAATACCCAAACATAACTTTAACTCTAGTCCCAACCTTAACTCTTATTACTTCAACTCTGATTAACTCTGCAACTTATGTTAAAAGTACCCTAAGACAGACGCTGCATTTATATGTTATTCGGCTATCTAATACATCACGTACCGTCTAGCTAGACTCTTCAGCCTAAAATTAAATAATGTCACCGAATTTATAACGGCGACCCGTAAAATGCTATGCCCAAGGGGAAAACAAAGTCCAATCCCGACTTTTTATCCTCTTGTTTTTCAAGAACAACAATTCTAGAACAGAAAGGTGACAATATAAAATAAATGTATTCAACTGCATTTGGAGACGAGAAGCAAAATAATGAGCAGCTGGAAAGAATTTGTATTTCACAGAATATCCTTGACATACTGATCACACAAAAGCAAGAAAATCATATTTGAAGCAGTGCGGAAAGTCCAAAAATTACAGTCGGTAGGTCTCGATACGTTTAAAGGAAAAGGATCAATAACAAGATTACATTTATCAATGAACAAACATATATAATATGCGTAATATCTGGTTTTCTTCCTAACATAACAATAAATATTTATCCAACCATATCCAATTAGTTGGCGGAAATCTTATAAATAGTTCTAATTTTAATGTGAGCTTAATTGTCAATTTGGCAATGAACTGTCTCGAGCACAAATTAATTAAAAATTAAAGCTTCACAGAAAGAGACAAATATGTAAATTTGCACAACTTAATAATTACCAGTACTACATACAAAACGTGTTAGAATAATGACTCGATGAATGAAAGAAGTGCTGGCTGGACGACACAATACAGAATTAAAACCGCGGAGCTCCGTGCTAGGCCCTTTATAATTTGCTACTGTCTTGCTAACATGGACTGTTAAAATCAATTGCTTCAATGTCATTTATAAAAAACGACGGTATAGAAACCCTGTGAAACTTTCCCAAAATAGGTATATATAACGACCGAACTGAAAGGTTGGGTCAGGAAGGAGTGGCTGGGTCAGGGAGCTGGGTACTAATGACCGATAGACGCGATAGTGGCGGGTGTCTAGTCCTTCACCCACAATCACCAGGACTCACTCCCCCACAAAACCCCCCACAATTAATCAGTTTATTTTTACTGTTACCGCGGCTCCTTCCCCTGAAATTATGTTTTATACTTCGTTATTTTTAGTTACTGTTCACTGACACCTAGGCGTGATATATTTTGTACCTGCTGGAGCAGTGGAATGTCAAAAGTTCGATCCCTGAACTTCTCAAAGTTAAACTGATAAAACGATCGATATGGAATGATTATTGTGGTGTCAAATTATTGACGTTCTGGCGTGATAATTTTTCATGGATATTAATATGAAGAATTTAATATGAATGGGTTATTTAATACCATGTCATATCATACGCTTATCAAATCATGAGCCCAGGTAGTGGGCCCAGGTAGTGAATACCAACGACAGGTTTTGGTGGAAATTTAAAATCTAAAATATATGCAGTCACGTCACATACATAACTAATCCATCAGTAACAGAAACTTCAGATAAAACGGCAACAAAAGCTGATCGTCTAAAAGTAAAATGCAATAAATTAATAAAAGAGCCCCTTTGTGTTAAAAACTAAAAATCATCTTGATCTCGGTTTATGTCCGACTCTGTTTCTTGCTTTCTTAATCTTAGGTGCGCCCTTCTTCTTAGCAGCCGCTCGTTTCATTCCGTCGACATCCTTCTTCATTCTGGAGTCAACAAACTTAACCCTACCCTTAGCTGTTGCTGGTCTCTTTTGGAACTGACCATTAGCTGAAGTTTATGTAAATTAAAATAAAGTTATGAGTTAGGTTACGTGACACTAAATTATTATAGGCGTTTACCACGTAAAATAACTTGTACGCCATGCAACAATTTCTGGGACTAATTCTTGGAATTTTCAACCGGCTTTGAGATGATATTCTAGATGAGTTTAAAACTTAAATGCAATAATATTTGCTCACCCCTCTTAGCCTTAACATAAGTAGTCTCTTGTTTCTTCTTGCCCTGTTCCACTTTCTTCACCATTTGTTTCAGCTTCATAACTTGTTCTGCTTGAGCACCGCCACTGTTATCAGTGATAAGGTCCGCTTGTTCTGCAAGTTTCTTCAACTTTTTCATAGCCTGAAAACGTTGAGACAAGATTAGTGTTTGCTGCATTTTAAATAAGGATCCACCAGATTAACTCAATTAGGCGACAAATTTGATACATAAACTACAAATAGCTGTCCCTTCACTCTTCATAACAAAATTGGCAGTTAAATATCGCGCATTAATCATATTTAATGATCAATCATAGACTCGCCTTAAACTTGGCCTTTGCCTTTGCCTCCGCTATTTTCTTGATCGGTCTGGCGTTGATCTCCCTGACTTGCTGCTTATACTCATCCACCTGCTCCTTGGTTACAGGTAGCTGTTTCTGATAATACTTCTTCTCCTCGTCTTCAAACCAGTCTGGGAGATCCTCCTCACCCCAAGCCCACCTGGAAATATTGAGGAATTTAAATATGTGAAAAAAGGCAGTGCAGTGGAATAAAATGTTTGGACCATCGATAAAATCAGGAACTACTTTTTAACAACGTAGTCAAAAGAGGGAGCTAATCTCTTACACCAACCACCTTCCTCTAATACTTAATCTAATTATAATTCTATCTAGAAACCATTTGTTTAGATCTTACTGGACCTACGGTGAAAATAAAACTCACCTATGATACCCAGCATCCATTATCTCGTTCTTCCTCTTCCTGCTGGTCACAATCTGTTGGCCTAATGCCAGTTCGGCCGCTGTCAAGGCTTTGTGACGTTTCTGTGCTGGTACCACTTCCATATCCTCTGTTGTTTTGGACGCAGGTTCTTTTCGCTTCTTATCACGAAGGTCCCGATAGTCTTCGGCATCAGATTCTGAGTCAGAATCTGTTTCGGAGTCTGATTTGTCATCTTTGGGTGTTTCTTTCTTTGGTTCAGATTTCTCGCCCTCGGCTTCAGGAAGATCAAATTTAACTTTTTTGGCCTCTGGTTCTGATGTTGACTTATCAACTTTTTCCTTATTAACTCCAAAGGCACTCGCCATAGCATCCACCTCTAGATCTTCGTCAATATCTTCTTCAGCAAGCTTGTCTTTCAACTGAAATCAATATTCGTATTGTATAAAAGTTGGCAAAATCTTATTTGTTAGTACAAATTATAAGATGACGAAAACCTTATGAATGCCAAAAGACACGAAAGCAGGAGTAGGATTATTCAAGTTTTTAATTGAGATACCATTGTCCAGTAATAGTATGGTACAGACGAATAACATTTATACCTTGTTGAACCACAGATTTGTCTTATCGATCTTGTCCCTTTTCTCCTTCACAAGCAAAGGATTGGCCTCCTTTTCTTCTTCCTCCTCTTCAACCTCGTCCTCTTCGTCTGTAGCGGAGTCAATATCTTCACCTACGGGATATTACGTCTTAACCACAAAATTCCTCTCTAAACTTGTATGACAGCAACAACATGGTACTTTCCATAGTACGATTAAATTAACAACCAGCAAGCCGCAGACGGAATGAGTACCTAAAGGCTAAATATTTACAGTAAGTTTTTTTAAATACCATCTTCTTCATCGTCTGCATCACTACCATCGTCATCACTTTCATCTTCATCTTCATCTTCCTCCATTACTATTTCTTCCACCTCCTTTAGTTCCTCAATAGGATCGTCTGCTTGAACTTCTGTTGTTTCGACTTTCTCCAGACCCTTAAATTTGTAAAATACTAAAGCAACAAATCTTTTCGATGTTTAAAAACGAATTTTATCTTTTGAGCATAAACCATTTAACGACATAACACAATTTAAGATAACATAAAAACAGACGCTTGGAATCATATTTCCAATATTTCATATACATTTTCATATATTATGGTAATGATAAAGAGCAATTAGGACTAGGGGGTATGGTCTTTTTGTTTTTTTTGTTTAACATACCTGTTTACTTTTGATCGATTGTAAATTGAACAGATTAGGATCCTCGTCTGCTCCAAACGCTTCCTTGGGCACATCCAATCCTTTAGCAACCTTGGCTAGGTTCTTTTCTTTTAATTTGCTCCCTTTCTTCTTCTTTTGGCGCTTTATCGCTTTCTCTGCTGTTTGTAATTCTACGATTTGGTGCTCGATTTTTGTCTAAGGAAGTGTTAATAATTGTAGTGATTATAAGACGTATTTGAGTATTTATATTTGTTATTCCAACAATGCACAATAACTTTTACAACGCTTGGTCTCCACACCACACCAATCATAATGTCTATTTCACTAAAGTACCCATTTTTAAATTTTATTGCTAAATTAGCAGGACAGGCGAGTCTCAATGACAAACCTCTTCATCTTCTTCCTCTTCTTCCATCTCTACGTCTTCATCTACTTTCTCCTCCGGACCTTCATCTTTCAGTATCTTTTCCCGCCATTTGATGATATTTCTGAAGTTTGAAAATCATAACTCGACTAGACCATCTGCTGAATTTATTTATACTAATAAAATATGTTATGTTACCATGGGTGATGATTTTGCCTTATCTAGAATCACTCACTTGATCTCCCTCTTTCCAAGAACTTTTATATCTTTAAGAGACTCTTTGAGTTCAATTGTTGTGTGTTTGCTGTCCAGTAACTTCTCATCTTTTATCTCTGAGATGATAATATGGTATCATACATCATTATTATAAGTAACCACCTTAAGAAAAGGTCTACAAGTACAACAGAAAATATAGAATCGATTGCTGTATAAATTTAACTAATGGGAAAGAAAACAACAACAAAAAAAACAGATTATTGCCTCATAGTCATAAATACTTCAGAAAACTAACCGATGGTATAAGCACTGCTGAGCAGATCCAAATGGTCCTCTGAGTCGATAAATAACCTTGCTGGAATAGTCTTGTGTAACGACAATGATGCACCATCGGAGTAACCTTCTCTGGATCTGGTGAATTTCTGAAAGAGAGATGTATTCAATTGGAAGTATTTACAAATCTGGTCGGTTTCCATTTGCTATCAAGTGAATTTTAAAAAAGAGTTTTCCGTTTTACGCCACAGAGATGGAACGTATTTGAACAAAATAAACTAGAATTTATAAACGTTTTATTTATAAACTTAGAAAATATCAGCATTTTGCTTACTGCTGGATTGATGAGGTTTAGTTTCTGGTTGTTTGTTTCTTTGGCAACGTCAGCGAAAACACATTTGTAACTGAAGAACTTCGGATCGATCTTGTCCGGAGCGAGGAAATGCTGGAATATATTTCCGATCAAAACTAATCGATCCTTGTCAGTAAAAGTGAAACCTTTGTTTTAATTGATTCCATAGTCGAATTTATTACGGTACAAATTATAGTTGAGATCATTTTCTTACCTGACAAACCACGAATATCTCTGCAGATTCGTTTCTGGAAGCTTGCGGTTTTGTTGCCATCACTTTTTTGAAAAACTGAAAATAACTTATTGATCATTGAACCCGAACGGCGAACATATTTCCTTTTTATGTGAAGTCTAATAAATTAATATCGGAGATAAAAAAGTACATATTTTGTATGGGCAATATTAAGTGAAATTCAACAGCAGTGATTTTAAATACAAAAAGTACTCATTATCATAGGTAAACTTTGCCAACCTGTTGGAAGACCCAGAGTAAAGCCTGGTAATCTTTACTTCTGAATATCTTGGTGACGAATGTTCCGCCCTCTTTCAAAAATTCAGCAGCTACTTTAAAAGCTGATAACGTTAACTGAGCTGAAAATATGAACATTAAATAACAAAACTGGACCAAACAAAATTACAGAGGTTGTTTTAACACTGACCTTAAGGGAAGATCAGGACTTGAAACTACAAACTGAAAGGGACCCTAACCTTGGCTGAAAGCATCCTGTACCCAAGCTGTACCAACATTTGGGGCTCCATCATTCAGCACACAGTCCGCTTTCCATGTCTGCATCTGTTTTTTGAGCTTAGATCGGCAGCTGTCCGACGTGATGTCGTCAACAAATGTTGTGACATTAGGGATTGCCCTGCAAGTAGCGAACTTTTAGTTACTGTAATAAACTCTAAACACCGCAAATATAAGTAAATATAGGCAATAAGTAATAACAGACTAATATAGGCAAATACAGGCAAATTGGACGAACTTGTTATTCGTGCACAGCTAGTAAGGTTTGCACGATCTGGCATGCCCATGTTTTAGTTAGAACTCTTATTTATGTTATAACCACTCAACCAGTGCAGTGCTAGTATCACTTACTTGATAGGATCCAGATCTATACCAATGATAAGAGAAGAAACAGGCATGAACTTGGCTGCCACCTGACACCAGGACCCAGGCGCTGCACACAGATCAATACATACTCTCGCGTTCTCTAGAAACCCAAACTTTCTGTTAAGTTGGATCAGCTTGAAGGCTGATCGGGCTCTGTAACCTGGGGTTGTGCTATTAAAAGACACTGTCCAAATTTAGGAATATTAGTGGGTAAGTTTAGGAAATCTGTGGGGGGGGGGTCCAACCCGATCCAATCCGATCATTCCGATCCCGATTTTGGCCTCATCAACCCTCATATCGGAAAAAATCGGGAAAATTTAAATCTTCCCTCTGAGGTTTCTAGGCGATATAGGTAGCTATTTCTGTACTTAAATATGACAAGAAATCGATTGGTGGTGGTCCCAGAACCCCAAAATAGTTTCTTGTTCCAAACAAGAATCGTTTCGTCCGGAAAAAAAACACACTGTCGTATCAACTTTTGTTTGACAGAAACATCCACCCCGGTCCACAATTGAAAGAGGTACGGTTGGTAATAACAATCGTAACAAATAGCGAACGCTTTAGTAACTTTTGATTTAAATTGTCTCCACAATTTGTAACAGGCTATCTGCAGAAATGGGTAGCACAGTTATCTCTTAGATACAAAGAATAGTTTACACAATTTTTAATAACATTAAAAGGGATGAAAATCACTTTATTTATCAAAATCTTTATTTATCATGTAACAACTTTTCCATAGTACTGGAGAGTAAAACTATGTTAAACAAAAAAATTCTACAGCACATTTTGAGTCAGTAACAGTAACATGTCAATATGTTACAGACTCACATGCGTTTAAAAACATTTTAGTAACAATAAATTGTGTAAACTGATGAGGAGGAGGATGAGGACTGAAGAAGAGGAGGACTGAGGAGGAGGAGGAGAAGGAGGAAAACTGAAGAGGAGGAGGACTGGGGAGGACTGACGAGGAGGAGAAGGACCGAGAAGGACTGAGGAGGAGGAGGAGGACTGACGAGGAGGAGAAGGACTGAGGAGGAGGAGGAGGATGAGGAGGACTGACGAGTAGGAAGAGGACTGGGGACTGAGGAGGACTAAGGAGGAGGAGGAGGAGGAGGAGGCTGAGGAGGACTGACGAGTAGGAAGAGGACTGGGGACTGAGGAGTACTAAGGAAGAGGATGAGGAGGATGAGGAGGATGAGGCGGAGGAGGAGGAGGACTGATGAGGAGAAGGAGGAGGAAGACTGAGGAGGAAGACTGAGGAGGATGAGGACGAGGACTAAGGATGAGGACTAGGAGGATGATAACGAGGGCTAAGGAAGAGGACTGATTAAGATGAGAAGGAAGAGGAGAAGGAGGAGGAGGACTGCGGAGGAGGAGGATAAGGAGGAGAATGAGGAGGAGGAGGAGGGGGAGGAGGATGACTCAGGAGGAGGATTCAGGAGGAGGAGGAGGACTCAGGAGGAGAACTCAGGAGGAGAACTGAAGAAGAGGAGGAGGACTGATGATGAGGAGGAGAAAGAGGACTCCAAAGGAGGACTCAGGAGGAGGAAGAGGAGGAGGACTCAGGAGGAGGAAGAGGAGGAGGAGGAGGACTAATGACGAGGACGAGGACGACTAGTGGAGGACTGAGGATGAGGACTGATGAGGAGGAGAAGGAGGAGGACTTAGGATTAGGATGATGAGGAGGAGGACTGAGGAGGACTGAGGAGGAGGATGAGGAGGAGGAGACTGAGGAGGCGGAGGAGGAGGCGGAGGATGATGAGGAGGAGGACTGAGGAGGACTGAGGAGGAAGACTGACGAGGACGAGGACTAAGGACGAGGAGGAGGACGACGACGACTGAGCAGGAGAACTGATTAGGAGGAGAAGAAAGAGGAGAAGGAGGAGGAGGAGGAGGAGTCAGGAGGAGGAGGACGACTAAGAGTAGGACTCAGAGGGGACTGAGGAGGAGGGTGAGAAAGAGGATGAGGACGAGGACGATTATGAGGAGGACAGAAGATGAGGACTGATGAGGAGGAGAAAGAGGAGGAGGACTAAGGAAGAAGAGGAGGATGACTGAGGAGGAGGAGTCAGGAGGAGGAGGACGACTATGAGGAGGACTGAGGAGGGCTGATGGGGAGGAGAACGAGGAGGATGAGGAGGAGAAAGGAGGAGGTGGAGGAGGAGGAGGAGGAGGAGAAGGAGAAGGAGGAGGACTGGGAGTAGGACTGAGGAGGAGGAGGGGACTGAGGAGGAGGGTGAGGAGGACGAGGAGGACGAGGAGTCATGAAGAGGACTGAAGAGGACTCAGGAGGAGAAGGACTCAGGAGGAGGAGGAAGACTTAGGAGGAGGAGGAGGACTGATGAGAAGGAGGAGGAAGACTATGGAGGAGGAGGAGGACATCTAAATGTTTTGTCTGTTTTTGTCTGTTTTTGTCTGTTTTTGTCCGCCCTACTTTTTGTCCGTTTTTAACATATAGGGTACCGAACGGACACAAAACATGATCCCCCAGCCAAGCATGTGTTACGATACAAATGTACTTGACTATACATTTAAGGTGCAGTGTACTAGTGATATTATGGTATGTTTAAAGACGGGACCACAAAATGACAAAATATAACCCGGTACCTAGTGTTGTACTAATACATAATAACAAGTAACAGGGATAAAATTAATGAGCAGAAACAATCGATCTCACGTCAAGAGGCCAAAGCACCTGGGTCTGGGAGTACATGACAACTTCAACTAGTAGTGAGCATACTAGCCCCTGCAGTGGAAAAACACATAAAACATACTATTGGAATGTCCAATTGGTTCGTTTTCTCATAACAATATAGGGCAATTCCACGGTAAGGTTCCACTTGGTGAAAATGAAAAATGTTAAGATAGGCACCTAATTTTGGTTAAAATATGTTCATTAGACTCTTAACCTTACAAGTCAACAAAAGTTTTTTGTTTCATATTGCGTTAACTTTTGATTTTTCTCATTCAAAGGAACACTACTCGGAAATGAAAAAAATCGTTCAAATTTTCAAAGGGCCATAGTTTGGGTATGCAGCAATATTTCTCTATGAAATTCCATACACTTAGGCATATGCATAAGAATGAAAGCTATGCAAAGTTTTAAAACCGTTACTCAAATACTTTTTCTAAAAAATTTCCACAAAGATGGTGTCACGTCCGTCACAAAATTAAGCAAAAAAGTTTTTTCAGAGCCACATAGTGCTATTTATATTCAAAAAACCACTGTAACCTATCTCTTCTGAAGGTAAGGGAGTACCGTAGAAATTATCAGGCTTGTATCTTTTAAGAAAAAATTTTTGTAAGGGTGGTCCCAACTTGTCGCGTCCGTCACATTTTTTTGAAAATGCTCCAAAAAATCTTAAAACAGACTTTAAAGGCATTTTTCTTAAAGCTGAGGCCGTCCTCAACAAAACTATGTCGTCAAATCAAAAATTAGACAGAAAATGACCGAGTTATGTATAATTTTGTATATGCCCATATATGGGCATACGGCTCACTTTTAGCCATTTTTATCCATATTTCCATTATTTTGACTAAAACCAAGACAAATAGAAGTCAAATAAGGTTGGATTGTGTTGACTATGTTGACTAGACTATCAAATAACATCATATGCAATTCAATAATTTAATTTACTGATTTTTTGCCATTTTATTTGCTTACAACTTTTTCAGAGGTAAAAGGCACAAAAAATGGACTTAACCCTATTTTCGCATATTTTTGAAGTAAAAATTCAATATCTTCCACATTTTAAACACTAAAGTAATGAAACTTTTAGGAGATGGTCTCAACAGTATGATGCGTTGAACAGTGATGAATGTTTTACCAGAGTTATAAATTTGTTCAAGTAGAGAAATAATTGATGCCCCTAGACTGATACCCTAGCGTATGCCCAAAATGGACGATTTTGGCTGTTGCAGACCTCTTGGGGGTATTTGAGGCCTAAAAATTGGCATGAATACAGAGTAGATGTCACTGAACAAGATAAAAGTGTCAAGTGGAAGATTTGGAAAAATTGAAAAAAAACGTGTGTCCGTCACAGTCACGTCTGTCACAATTTGAAAATGGCGCCACGCAAACAAAAATTGAGCAATCTCTAAGAAAATGGCATCTCAGAAATCCCTAAACCTTCTTCTATCATTGTAATTCCAAATTAGATACAATAGATAACTTTTTGAGATAAATTTGGGTACCATCTGAGTAGACACCCAAAAAAGGTGTCAGAGGAACCCCAATAGACGTTAGTCACTAACTGACGGACGTAGCCTCCCATTAGGGAGGTAAAGTGGGTGCCCCAACATAAAAAATAAATTAAAAAAAAAGACACCCAAAAAAAGTGTCATATTTACGTCACGTCCGTCACAGGGGTGCTATCTCAGAAAGTAATAATGGTAGGGGTCTGAAATTTTCACACAACCTGTAGAAAGGTTAAATGTGGACTAATAAACAGTTGGAGCTGATAAATAAACAACATCTCGAGTACAACATTCGTTTGAACTTTAAAAAACAGCAAAATCGTGGTGTCCGTCACGGTGGAATTGCCCTATAGCATATGTAGGGGTTCTGGTTGAATTATATCACTTCTGAGAGGTTTTAGAGATCGATTCTGTAAATTTCTCAATTTAGGAGAACTCAGGAGGAGAACTGAAGAAGAGGAGGAGGACTGATGATGAGGAGGAGAAAGAGGACTCCAAAGGAGGACTCAGGAGGAGGAAGAGGAGGAGGACTCAGGAGGAGGAAGAGGAGGAGGAGGAGGACTAATGACGAGGACGAGGACGACTAGTGGAGGACTGAGGATGAGGACTGATGAGGAGGAGAAGGAGGAGGACTTAGGATTAGGATGATGAGGAGGAGGACTGAGGAGGACTGAGGAGGAGGATGAGGAGGAGGAGACTGAGGAGGCGGAGGAGGAGGCGGAGGATGATGAGGAGGAGGACTGAGGAGGACTGAGGAGGAAGACTGACGAGGACGAGGACTAAGGACGAGGAGGAGGACGACGACGACTGAGCAGGAGAACTGATTAGGAGGAGAAGAAAGAGGAGAAGGAGGAGGAGGAGGAGGAGTCAGGAGGAGGAGGACGACTAAGAGTAGGACTCAGAGGGGACTGAGGAGGAGGGTGAGAAAGAGGATGAGGACGAGGACGATTATGAGGAGGACAGAAGATGAGGACTGATGAGGAGGAGAAAGAGGAGGAGGACTAAGGAAGAAGAGGAGGATGACTGAGGAGGAGGAGTCAGGAGGAGGAGGACGACTATGAGGAGGACTGAGGAGGGCTGATGGGGAGGAGAACGAGGAGGATGAGGAGGAGAAAGGAGGAGGTGGAGGAGGAGGAGGAGGAGGAGAAGGAGAAGGAGGAGGACTGGGAGTAGGACTGAGGAGGAGGAGGGGACTGAGGAGGAGGGTGAGGAGGACGAGGAGGACGAGGAGTCATGAAGAGGACTGAAGAGGACTCAGGAGGAGAAGGACTCAGGAGGAGGAGGAAGACTTAGGAGGAGGAGGAGGACTGATGAGAAGGAGGAGGAAGACTATGGAGGAGGAGGAGGACATCTAAATGTTTTGTCTGTTTTTGTCTGTTTTTGTCTGTTTTTGTCCGCCCTACTTTTTGTCCGTTTTTAACATATAGGGTACCGAACGGACACAAAACATGATCCCCCAGCCAAGCATGTGTTACGATACAAATGTACTTGACTATACATTTAAGGTGCAGTGTACTAGTGATATTATGGTATGTTTAAAGACGGGACCACAAAATGACAAAATATAACCCGGTACCTAGTGTTGTACTAATACATAATAACAAGTAACAGGGATAAAATTAATGAGCAGAAACAATCGATCTCACGTCAAGAGGCCAAAGCACCTGGGTCTGGGAGTACATGACAACTTCAACTAGTAGTGAGCATACTAGCCCCTGCAGTGGAAAAACACATAAAACATACTATTGGAATGTCCAATTGGTTCGTTTTCTCATAACAATATAGGGCAATTCCACGGTAAGGTTCCACTTGGTGAAAATGAAAAATGTTAAGATAGGCACCTAATTTTGGTTAAAATATGTTCATTAGACTCTTAACCTTACAAGTCAACAAAAGTTTTTTGTTTCATATTGCGTTAACTTTTGATTTTTCTCATTCAAAGGAACACTACTCGGAAATGAAAAAAATCGTTCAAATTTTCAAAGGGCCATAGTTTGGGTATGCAGCAATATTTCTCTATGAAATTCCATACACTTAGGCATATGCATAAGAATGAAAGCTATGCAAAGTTTTAAAACCGTTACTCAAATACTTTTTCTAAAAAATTTCCACAAAGATGGTGTCACGTCCGTCACAAAATTAAGCAAAAAAGTTTTTTCAGAGCCACATAGTGCTATTTATATTCAAAAAACCACTGTAACCTATCTCTTCTGAAGGTAAGGGAGTACCGTAGAAATTATCAGGCTTGTATCTTTTAAGAAAAAATTTTTGTAAGGGTGGTCCCAACTTGTCGCGTCCGTCACATTTTTTTGAAAATGCTCCAAAAAATCTTTAAACAGACTTTAAAGGCATTTTTCTTAAAGCTGAGGCCGTCCTCAACAAAACTATGTCGTCAAATCAAAAATTAGACAGAAAATGACCGAGTTATGTATAATTTTGTATATGCCCATATATGGGCATACGGCTCACTTTTAGCCATTTTTATCCATATTTCCATTATTTTGACTAAAACCAAGACAAATAGAAGTCAAATAAGGTTGGATTGTGTTGACTATGTTGACTAGACTATCAAATAACATCATATGCAATTCAATAATTTAATTTACTGATTTTTTGCCATTTTATTTGCTTACAACTTTTTCAGAGGTAAAAGGCACAAAAAATGGACTTAACCCTATTTTCGCATATTTTTGAAGTAAAAATTCAATATCTTCCACATTTTAAACACTAAAGTAATGAAACTTTTAGGAGATGGTCTCAACAGTATGATGCGTTGAACAGTGATGAATGTTTTACCAGAGTTATAAATTTGTTCAAGTAGAGAAATAATTGATGCCCCTAGACTGATACCCTAGCGTATGCCCAAAATGGACGATTTTGGCTGTTGCAGACCTCTTGGGGGTATTTGAGGCCTAAAAATTGGCATGAATACAGAGTAGATGTCACTGAACAAGATAAAAGTGTCAAGTGGAAGATTTGGAAAAATTGAAAAAAAACGTGTGTCCGTCACAGTCACGTCTGTCACAATTTGAAAATGGCGCCACGCAAACAAAAATTGAGCAATCTCTAAGAAAATGGCATCTCAGAAATCCCTAAACCTTCTTCTATCATTGTAATTCCAAATTAGATACAATAGATAACTTTTTGAGATAAATTTGGGTACCATCTGAGTAGACACCCAAAAAAGGTGTCAGAGGAACCCCAATAGACGTTAGTCACTAACTGACGGACGTAGCCTCCCATTAGGGAGGTAAAGTGGGTGCCCCAACATAAAAAATAAATAAAAAAAAAAAGACACCCAAAAAAAGTGTCATATTTACGTCACGTCCGTCACAGGGGTGCTATCTCAGAAAGTAATAATGGTAGGGGTCTGAAATTTTCACACAACCTGTAGAAAGGTTAAATGTGGACTAATAAACAGTTGGAGCTGATAAATAAACAACATCTCGAGTACAACATTCGTTTGAACTTTAAAAAACAGCAAAATCGTGGTGTCCGTCACGGTGGAATTGCCCTATAGCATATGTAGGGGTTCTGGTTGAATTATATCACTTCTGAGAGGTTTTAGAGATCGATTCTGTAAATTTCTCAATTTCCCGATTTTTCCGATTCCGATTTTGGCCTCATCAACCCTCATATCGGACATCGGGTTGGACCCCCCCAATCTGTAGATTGTCTTAGTTACCATAAATAAGGAACATCAGAAATACTAAATATATACTACTATATATAGTAGTATTATATACTATATATACTAAACTATTCATTCTATTCATGTTACCTGTTTCTTTAGCAAGCTGGTAGAACTTATCCCTACGGGCCTTTCCAACCTTCTGCTTCTTACCCATGGTGGCTACAGGGTGAAAAGGGGTCAGAATCTATTATATAATAGAGTCTGGGTATGGAATCCAACTCTTTGGTTAACTACCATACAAGGAATAAGGATATCCACTCACCACTGCGTTGTTAAAGTTCTGTATGCATATAATTTGAATCAACTCTACAAATTTATTTAATTTATTTAAAACATTTGTGATAAATTCTATGACGGGCTAGGTTGAGGAACAGACAGTTCAACTTAAGCTAAAATGCAACATAGCTTGTAATAAAACCAAGTATGTGAACGAAAGTTGCAATATTATTAGCGATAAAAATGGTAAATAACATTCAATTTTTGCTTAAAAATGTTAATTGTAATGGACTGGGACAGTTACAGTCAGTTATTTTTATATACAAATTACTTTGTTCAGCAAGCTGAGACATTCAAATAAACAAAATAAACCGTTCATTTTTCCATCTCAATTAATATGTTTAGGTACAAATTTATGAAAGATAAACTGCTGATTGTTATATTATATGAATTAAATCTTTGGTACCAAGAAAACATTAAGCAAGTTCATGACGAGCCATCAACATTAAGCGTTACACACAAACATAGGTTCTTACTCAGCAGTCCAAGCCAGCTCAGCTGTTTATACAGGTCCGTATTAAGGCAAACATTATCAGAAGCACCGTTGTGACAAAACATCCGAGCGCACTGTACAATCCAGAAACTTCTCTGATTTTAATAACACCTAAAAATGCAGAAAATGCACTGCAAATTGTGCAACTTAACAACCACCGCAACGAAAACATGGTGCCTCTGAACATTATAGATTTATTAAAGGTGTCAATATATAATACTCGCATCCAAACAAATGATTAGTTGTTGATGCCGGTAAGGGAGGCGATGCTGTGGTTGAGCGGTTTGGAGTCTGCAGGCTCTGGATCTGGTGACATTGTGCCGTCTCTGTAGCTGGCTGAGGACAACATCACGTTACTGCTGCTGTAGGGCGGCGTGAAGCACGAGTCACTCGAGAAACTGGGGGGTTGTGCAGGAATTTAAAATAATTTATCAGAATATTCTTGAAAATTTTACCAATGTTCGCGGAGGTGTTAAGTGTTCGGTCTAGCGAAATAAAGATCTCATAATGGGATTTGAAACTCCCTTCCAGAAACAAGCTCGATAAATTTATACTGGCAAAATTAAGAAGGCTGGTTGACGCTCAGAAAATATATCAAATAAGTTCCAGTCCTCCTCGGCTCAAAAGGTGAACGGCCGAAAAAACATTGGATTTCCGACCTAAAACCTTGTATCTGAAGTGCTGGTGAGGTAGATGTCTCCAGCTGAGGAGTCCATCATGGAATGCTTGGAATCTTCGTCACCCTCCTCCTGCATTCCGTTGTAAGGCTGACAGATCTGGGAAATGGAGAAGTCTGTGACGTTCGTGTTCCTGGAGAAAATTGTGATTAGAGCTTTTTTTAATGAAAAAGACCATGATGAAAATTTCAATATTATTTAAATTGGGCTATTTTATTTTTAATGTTATCATTTTAAAAGCACGATCACTTAGTTTCTGTACACAACAATGCGGTTCAAATAAATTCTTGCTCCAACCACGTGGCTTCAAAAGCTACAAGTGACATGAGCGTTAAGAGTGAGGTCCCTTTTACCAGTTGTGAACGGAATTGCATCATTCGTCACAAAAAATATATTCCAAACGTAGATATAATATAATAGAAATTTCTTCTCTATCTATATTTATTAATTTATATCTAAATTTCTAACCTAGAAGCTTGTGTAGTCATGGTAACGTTAGAGGCGGAGGGATGAGGGACATTGGAGACTGGTGTAACAGTGACAGGCATGACATTCTGCTCTACTACCGGGATAAAACACTGGGCGGTCTGGTTAGCTACTGTAACCGTGCTTTGTGGGATCAGGACCGTTCCTTCTGAGTTGGTCGTTACCTGAGAAAAGTGGTGTTTTATAATAGGGACTGAAATTAGGATTTTAAAACAATATTTTGTTAAGTTTTACAGTTCAACACGAACAAAATTATCTACAATCTGCGATAATAACTCGATGTGTGAGCAGTACCTACCCCACTGACAACTTGAAGAATTGGAGTTGTTGCTTGAACCCCAACCATCCCTCCTTGTTGTACACCAACCATCCCTCCATGCTGGACGCCAACCATTCCACCATTCTGTACCCCTACCATGCCACCTTGCTGAACCCCAACCATTCCACCTTGCTGAACTCCAACCATAGGCACCGTAGCAGCTTGACCTAAGCCTAAGGTTTTAAAATTATGCATTTGGTAAAGCATCTTTGTATCTAGATATGACAATATCTTGGGCAGCTTCTGTCATAATATTTGGTAGCAATGTCTTCTAAGATACCAATTGATACAATACAGAATGTATCTGACCGATGCAAAAGTAACAAACACAACTAACCTCCCTGCACCCCGACAGTGACAGTTTGAGCGGTGACAGTTTGTCCTGCTGATTGTACCACAGGGAAGGTACCGGGGAGAACAGTGGAGGACCCCTGTGTTGGTAATTGAGCTAGAACAGGCTGGGTTCCCACAACTACCGAGTGTTGTCCTGGAGAATTAGAGGATTAATTAATAATATATACGTTAACTTTAATAACTACGTAAATAAGTGTCTTAAAGTTGCAACCTTATCTAATCAATATTCGAACTATTCACATGTCGCAGGTCGCTGAATGCCATACAGAATGATATGAGAATTGTTGATAAATACCCTGAGGGCCCTGAATAAGCGATCCGATCTGTAGCGGTGCACTCTGAGTAGTCTGATTCCCTGAGTTATCAGTAGCGTAGTTCATGAGGGACGGAAACTGGTTCAGGACTATGGGACTCTTGTAGTGGAACGTTGATTCACACATCACTTGGTTTGAGGACAGTGTGTTCAGTGGCACTGAAATTTGGGGTGTAAGGTAAAGCTGTGCAGTATCTCATGCCAAACATTTGAAAGCTAAATCATGAATAATAGATGGTGTTAACAACACTATTATTAAGTGAAACTTACACTCATGTTGGTAGTACGAAAAGAACTATATAAAGAACCCAATAATAAGATTCAATTAAATATATAAGACCAAGAAAAACAGCAGTATCCTGTAAACGCTGTAATTGTTATAGCACCTTTCGAGAAGCTCCGAAGAATAGACAGTCACAATAGTCTAAACATGAGACAATCAGACTGGTAACAATAACCTTAGTTTAAATATCAGTTATTGTATTAAAATTTGAACCTCGAAAGTTAAAACAATTTGGTATGACTGATATCTTGATGGAGATCTAGTAACTTTGTTCCGTCTATATTACCTGCGAAGTGGGGTAGACTGCCTGGTATCATGATAACCACGGGGCCATTCTCTCCCTGAACAAGGACGGGGGTTTGGGGTAATACTGGGGTGTTAGGGCTCGCTGCTACCAGCTGAGTGTTGGTGGTTGCCATGTACAGGGTGTTTGATTTTCCTGTTGTAAAAAAAAAGAAATTCAGTATAATATGGATGTGATACAAAATTCCTGTTCCAATCAAGCATTGCAAAAGTGATTTTACGAACTCATAAAAACAGATAACGTTTTACCTAAAAACAAGCCAAAGCCAAAGTAAAATGAGTCTCTAAAAGTCCTTGAGATATAATACTAACCGGACTCCCCTGCTACTGCAGCGTGCACATAGGCAGGGAGGGACAGCAGTGTATTGTTGTTCACAGTTGATGTGGCATTCTCTGCTGCAGCTCCCAACAGCGCTTGGATTGAATGAGCAGATCCGTTCACGTTGTTTTTCATCATGTTTCCGTTCTTGACCTGCAAGTATATATTTTAGGATTATAGAACACACACCGGACTTATGACACTGTTTCTAAAGGAATTATTTTAATTTGCTTTTCTGTAAATGTGTTTTGGTATCATATAATAAATAACCTATAAAAGTTAAGGAAAGTTATTCTTCTGTGGTGGAAGCATTTACCTGTAAATTAGCCAAGACCGGATGGGCATTCGTAAGAATAGGGTGGGCGTTGGTAAGGAGAGGATGAGCGTTGGTAAGAACAGGGTGGGCGTTCGTAAGGACTGGATGGGCGTTGGTGAGAAGAGGATGACCATTGGTAAGAACAGAGTGGCCGTTCGTAAGGACTGGATGGGCGTTAGTGAGGACAGGGTGTCCGTTTGCAGCAACTATTGTGGTGTGGACAGCATTAGACTGAGCCGTTGTTGGAAGAAGGTTGGTAGGGAAAGTTGGGAATGCCGTGACAACTGAGCCCATGTTATTTGAGGCAACAACGCCAGTCTGGGTTTGTAGTTTTACCTGAATAATGTGTGAAAAAGGTGTTCCATATCAGCTGTTAATTTAAACTTAAATTGTAATCCTCGAAAAGATATTGAATAAGATATTTCAAGATATTATATATCCAGTCTTATCATCTTGTCAGCAATAAATAATTTAGTTGAAATCCGTACTTAGCTGAACGCAACTTTGACTGATCTGCTTTACATACCTGTATTGGTTGGGAAGCAAGCATAGTGGGCTGACCTGGCACAGCAGGAATGCTACCAGCTGCCATTAATGGCACAGTTATTATATTTTGGGATTTCTGGGTGGTTGTTACTGCAGTCACTATTGTCTGAAAGATTGGAATATCGTTATTTTTTTGAGTCATCAAATTATAATAAAAAGAATTTCTTAAAAATGATCATGCCCTCTAATCCAACTGGTTGAAAACATTGAACAAAAACTGCTAACTATGCTTCACAGTGATCAGACTTTTTTTCTTTTAACCATGACCAGAATCAACCTAACAATAACATAGTTATTTCTTACAGGGAGGTTGGGAACAGAGTTTGCTTTGGTAAGGTTGGAGACGGCTACTCGGTCCAATGTTGGAGTCATTGTTGTGTCTTCACCATCACTTCCTGATGAAGTTGAACACGTTTTGAGTACTTGTGGCTATCATTACAGTGAAAAAGAAACTGAAAAATGGTATCAATGGTATTACATTTCCAGCCCTTACTGTAAGGTATTTAAAACAACAAACCTGATGACTGAGATCTTTCATTTCTGTTCTTGTGTATAGACATGTTCAAACTCCAGGCTCCCTTGCTCAGCTGTTGAGCTTCTTTCAAGAGTTGAAGGTAATGAGAATTTTCAGAAGATAGAGATTCCACATTTTTGGTCAGTTTGATAACCTCTGTTTTGAGAAGTTGAACATCATCTGGAAGGTCTTTCTCCTGTTTCAGCTGCTCAATAAAATTTACAGTCTTTTCTAGGATACAGTTCTTACTTAGTTTACCATTGCAATCAGGAACAAGCGCACATAACCTCACAATCCATTTATTGATCTTATCTTTTCTTTTTCTCTCTGTTTCATTGTGTATAATCCGTCTTTTATCTTCATCACTAGCATTTGGAGTAACAACATTTGAAATCGGAGTAGCAGCAGTCATGATGTAGTATGGTGAACAGTTTCCAGTCTTGGATGACACGGAATATGGAGAACGAAAAACAGCAGTGCCAGGAATTTTGGTGGGTGCTGAAATAATAGTGTTAAAACTGACTACATGTAGCACAATATGGATTATTAAAGACGACAGTAAACTATAAAGAAACTTGTTGAAATTAAAAAATCACCTTTGTTTCTTTGATCTCTCTGACCATCTTGAATGTTTTCCTCGACTGACCCTTTCTTTTCAGGTGGGAGTTTATCAGACATTTCTGCCTAAATATTTAGGATGATGTTTAATTTTTATTTGTTTTATCTAACTGTACACATTTCATGATGAACATTGCAAATAAAGTTAACAACTAATAAGACTGTATAGTTGAATATAAACTGAATGTGAGATTATGTAAACTAATGTACTTACTGCTTTTCCCCTGCAGTAAATTTCCCATTTACAATTGTCTCATAATGAATAACTTTAATTACAGCAACTCATAGCAAGTTAATGACTAGGTGGCCAGTGGCATAACGTTGCCTTTTGGCGCGCGGGGCCCTTCATTACGCCACTGTAGGTGACCGAAAGGTTAGAGCTTCTGCCTAGTGACACCTAGTGATCCTAGTCTAAGAAGTATGTTAAATATAGTTATGTTAATATTTTCCATCTTGGAGTACAAAGGGGAGACGTACTTTAGGTAATGATTGTTGCTTTGACTAAAATCAGGAACAAGTTGTCCTTGGGGTGCATCCGACCCTCGAACACTTATTAAGTAAAACAAAATTTTTAAGTAAATCAAAATTTAAGTTTTATTGCCATTACAATGAATAATGATATCATAATAAATATAAGTAGACATCCGATAATAAACTTATTACATCCAGTACAACCCAAGATGTCAGCCGACGCGACTTACAAAAATAAAGAAGGCTAGCATGTTATGTTCATTGACAAGCGCCAAGGCAAGTGAGTGAGAGTCGGTTAAGGTACTAAACGGGATGTTAATATGTTAAATTGTAATACTGATCTTGTATAATCTATATTGTAATCCATGTGTATCCAGAGCAGTAACATAACAGAGTAGCTAAGGATCCATTGGATTAATACGAAATTACACATCCCTGTGATGATCGGAAACGTTTTTTATGTTAAATGGAATGGCCAGGGGCAGAGAAAAGATCAGGAATCTTCTTAGGATACCCATTATGCACATCTTCATAATAGTGTACAATAAACACAGTAGGAAAACAAATTTTAGGAAAACAAATTTAAATTTTGGTATTTATTAATAACAATCAAAACATATCATATCATAAAAATAAAGCTGCGCGTTGGTTGACTGCCTCAGTAAGACGAATAATTTAAACTTGAAGGTGCCCTGCGCATTTACAGAACCTTATGCGGCAATCACATATTCATGAGGACCTGTGAGCGCCAAATTTAATTTAAAGTTTCTAGAGATCATACATCACTACGAGTTACTCATGCTTTTGGATTATAAGAGTGCGGATTGTCAGGTATTTCATTCATTCATACTTAATCGGTTTAAGCTGTATATTTAGAAACGGATGTAGAGAAAAAGGAGGAAACCTCTACTAATTTGATACTATCTGCCCAATACTGCAAAGAACTAAAAGACCTCAGAATGTTCCTAGAATCTAAGAAACAGACTATTGAACACATAATTGGTGAGAACGTATCCATCACTATCGCAAATAGAAGAGGTAGTAACATAAGTGACCAACTCTTCAAACGAAGAAAATTCGCCACTACACCAGCAGAATACGTGAAACAGTCTAGAAGAGACAACAACACCTCATCACAAGCATGTAAAAGACCAAGATGCCTGACTTGCAAACTCACGGAAAACAACACTGATGGGAAATTTATTGTTAACAATCAGATATGTGAACTAGATATGAGTTTAAATTGTAGTGATGATAATGTTATATACGTAGCTCAATGTAAGTTATGTTCTAGTGGCTTCTATTTTGGCCAGACATGGCTACCCCTCAATATACGCATGAATAACCACAGAGCAGCTTTCAAACCAGAACATTATAATAAGTCATCATTAGCTCTGCACATTCACGATGTGCATTATGAAATGTTAGATGATAAACTTTCTAGTTTTAACTTTGGGATTATCCGTAAATGCAATAGAGATGACCTGAACATGTATGAGTATATGTTTATCGAGAGATTTAAAGCCAGGATAATTGGTTTAAATAGGAGCAAGGTCAGTGGCAATTAATGTTATCTTTGGTTCAGGTCACACCTCACGTTCTTTCACTGGGTGTACGGCTATATTTTCCGCTTCCTAGTTCTCACTTTTGTACACCGAGTAACGAGTTTACACTTTGTTGTTTTTTTTCTGCCCCATGAGTTTGTAACTTTACTATGGATTTTCAGATTAATTAACCGTATGTTTACTAATATGACATATTCTTCTGATATCAGTTTATTAAATTTTTGAGAGCTTGATCATGAGACATTATTTCAAATTGCCCTTTCCGAATCGTTCGGTGCAATGTATGCGAGTATGACCAATATATAACCTTACTTTATTCGTATGTTTGGCCTCAACACAAATTTTGGCCACGTCTACTCAAGAAAACAGTTTCAGTGGTCAAATATTAAGGACCACCATTGTTGTTTTTTTAATCAAGTTACGATCTACATTGATTTATACATAAAATTGAATTTTAAATAGAAATGTGAATATATTAAAATTTAAAACTTTCAAAACGAAGGCTTATAAATATTATTGAATTATGATTGTAAAATAAAGGATAAATTTTTAATTTGTTTCATTTAACATTTGTTTTACTAATTAGTAAAATAAATCGTTAAACTAATCAAATTGTTTTGTTAAAAGTTTTGATACAATATTTTACCTCAAATTGGTTAATAACGGGTGATATTGTAGGTTTACAACCTACCAGGACGCGCGCCGAGTTGGACTCGTTGATGGTCCTGTTGACGGATGTTACTCGTCTAAATTTCTTCGAAGTAGCGTGCGCTGCTTTCTTCTCGATGGCAAGAGCTACGAAGTAGCGCGCGCCGGGTAAGATCATTAACAATGGTCAAATGGTCCTGTATATATATATATGGAACAGATATTTTACGAGTATCACCCGTTAACGGGTGATACTGGTAAAATATTTGTTCCGTCGACGAGTCCAACTTTTATTGACAATGTCAACCTTTTAATTCTAGATCGTTGCTCTGCGAAAAATGCTAGTTTGCACGGCGCATCGAAGCTAAGCGTCGAAGTCCTCCAAGTCCAACTCGGCGCGCATCCAGGTAGATTATAAACCTACAAAATTGTAATTGGAGGACTTCGCCATTTCGACGCGCCGCGCAAACTAGTATTCTTGCTTCGCATCAACAACGATCTGGAAGGGTCGACATCGTCAATCAAGATTGTAACAAAGCAGAATCGCCATGCTTTAACCAACACTTTTTGTACCACCATTTTTTATTTAAAATTCAATTAATTATTATATATATATATACAAATCAAGCGTTACATTTTAGCCATGCAAAATTACATTCCCAGGAACCCTGACCGGATGGGGCTTAACTTTGAAAGTAAAAGAGTTGGAGACTTCCGGTTTTTTGTAACATGTTCCTCTTTTAAAAGTAACGTTACCTCTCCAGGAGGAAAATTCAAGACAACGTAATTGTTGAGTTATCTCAAAATCTCCAGAAAAGTCCCCTTTCGGGCCGATCAAAAGTTTGCAACTTTAACTTTGCGGATTCCTGTACTCTGGTTGGCTGAATTGTGTCACGTGGTAGCTGCCTGAACATTGGAATACGCCACGCGTGCAAATCATGCTTGTTGTTGCGCGCGAGGTCAAGCCGTCTGTTTAAATTAAACCAACTCTAGTACCACCACCAGCCGGTAACTTTTCCTGGGTATGAAGTAACCAATTAGGGCTATTAAATGCCGAACACAAGGATATTTCGTATTCGGATCATATGCCTGCAGGCCGTCTGTCGCTTAAGACCATGGTCGCTCTTAACTGAGCGATAAGTGACGTTAAGTGAGACCGTGAGCACCACTTCTTGCCAATTTGCTTTTGAATTACGGCCCAATCATGAAGTTAAACAGTACAAGTTGTGTTTTAACGGCAAAATACAGCGAATTCTAGCCCTTGAAAGTTGTAGGTTTGGAAGATCAATACGGATGCTTTAATTCATAAAAGTCTTAAGTTAGAACGGCCAAAACACCCTACTCGGCGTCAGCAAATTGACATATTTTAGTATTCTAATTGAAAAATGGTGCTGCAATATATAAGTTGCTTAATGTTTGATAAATCGTGTAACTAGAAGCAGTATATGCAAAGCAACTTAGGTGATAGGTGATAGGCAATATGAAATTACACATCTTACTTTAACTTTATCCCGTCACCCATGGACTTATCAATTAACGGCTGGTGGTGGTGTCATCGTTTGTCGTACTCAAAACGTTTCGCGGTTGCGAATGCCGGCCCATCGAGGAAAATCTTTTTACTTTGTATTTTAACCATTATAAAGTGTGATTAGTCGGATATAGTACTGAGTTCAAACAGTCCCCGAAACGAAAAAGCAAACATTTGATTTTTGTTTCGGCGACTGAATCGTCGATGGGCCGGCAAATATTTGTTGTCGAGTAGTGTTGAATACTCATATTAACATGATTATTGATTTAATTTAGGAATTGTATATAAATATCTTTGACCAAGTTTAATTGTTAATGAGAATGCACCGTACCCCAGCACTGGGCGCGCGCGTTCAGCGTGGGGCTTTTCGTTTTTGATTTTACAAATGACATAGCAACTTTTAATGATTATTAATGGAATTATCGGATATTTATAATTCAATATGTATTGATTCTTCTGTGGAAAATAAAAATTGTATTTTACTTTTTTTAAAATTGTATTTTACTTGGCCGGATGACAACTAACTAAATTTTTTAAAATGAGAAAAATAAATTTGATTACGAGCGTGCTAAATCACTTTTGTCATACGATGTATGACCCGCCGCGCACGAAGTGCGCGGCTCCCCCTGTATCGTCAGGACGATAAATAGTGAAACGACCGTGGGGGTCGCAACGTGATACAAAATCACTTTACACATTACAGTCGATCTTCGAGATTGTTCTAAAAGGGCCCCCGATGAATGTAACCAACTTCAATCGATGTACTTTCGGACGCTGATTCCAAATCACCCCCATGCGACATAGGGCCAGGGTTAAAATGCTCTCCTGACGAGATATTGGCGAAAAACTGTATCGATCACGTGA